AACCTGAAAGTGACAGTAATTAATGACTAGAAGCAAGAAACATTAAGATAAATTGTCAGTAACTGATTGACTGTGTGAGAGAAATTAGGTGTTAGAACATGACTCGAATATGATGACGGAGCTTTTGAACAAACAGCTCAGATTTAAAATGATGAACTGATACCGCCTCTACAGAGAAATCATTTATAAGATATGGTTGCAATGCATTTGAATTCGTAATTTAAGCTAATTTCAAAGACTATATAAACGTTCCTACCTGTAAAACGTGAATCTATGTATGATTTTGACTGGAATAAATGATAATCTGACTTATATACATATTGAACATTCTTGTGTTAACAAAAATAATTGAATATCATCCACCTAATATATTTCACCTGTTCATCTAATTAATATTATGATCACAGACCTCAACAATCGATAGAATAAAAGTTCATCAAGTTTCGCTAAAGAACACAAAGGATAATGTTTCCTGGAATACATTCAGTTAAGAATGCCGAGCATGACTTGAGCTTTTTTAAAAAGGCATGTTTTTAGCATTTAAAACTTATTTGAAATAAAATTAATCAAACACCACTCAGACATTTTCGAAAAATCCCTATAAATAGACTGTAGCATTATAGTATCTGCTAAAAGTGGACTCTCCATTAGACGTTTATAAAACCGCTATTTTGATTGAAACTAAGGTAGTTTAACTAGGAACCTTATTTCATATTCCAAGAAAATACGCTAACAGAACTGATACACAAGCTGAGTTTGAGAACTTGTATCAACATCTACTACCATATTTGTCTTTTCTTTACTCAATTTTTTAAATGTAAAACATTGTATGAAATCTCAGATATTCATTGGTAATAATTTTCGCTATAAGTTCATCAAACAAAATAAAACAATGTTCTTATTTACATGTTTTCAGATGTTTCTATTAAAATGTCTATTTGTACTGGAGGAAGAAATCATCTTTAAACACAAAAAAGTGTCTTATAGTTTTTGTATAAAATCTAGTTTTTGTAACTATTAACTGAAATTTTTTCAAATGACCATATAGGAAAAGCTAAGTTTACGTTGAATGTGAATTATTTATTTATTTGAACACATAAATATTTATACGAAGGGGCACTGAATACATTTGATTTGTGTTTGCGCTGTGATACTTCAACGGAGCCCAGACCGAAGCAGGCGATTTTCTTACGGAGCCATGCTCGGAGCCTTCGACCTAAAGATCTGATCCACAAAGAAGTGGAGAAAGGTCAGGATATGCAGTCCTATGGTAGCCGGTGACCTACGATTGGTTCATACGCCATTTGTTCCCTCAGGATAGCGGAGCGCATGTGCACCATAGTTTTGCAATCAGGGTTTTCCAGCTCCCCTAGGTGAACTCTCCGTGTCCACCAACCCTCTTTAAGCGCCGGTCATTCGCTTTTCTTCCTCTCAATGTCGTAAACAAATCCGCACCACGAAAAGGCAGTGAGTAGAACTTCCCTGGCAGTGGCTGTATACACGTGGCCATGTGAGAGCATTTCCAGAGGGAGAGCTGACTCTTCCCACCCTCGGCCGTACCAGGGCATTTATAGAATGAATTAAATTAAAAATTAAATATACTTAGATTCGATATTATTTTTATTTCACAGATTTTTATCATGTGCTTTCTTTTGAATGCAATTATAGTTGTTTATTTTAATTTCTGGTTATAAATATTCTTTTTTTATATTTGATTTAGTTGACAAAAATGTCTTTGTTTTTTGTCAAATAAAGAATATTTTAAGCAATGAAACAAGTTTTCTGGTTGCCCTCCTTATTTTTATTAAATAACTGTTCAAATGTAGGCGAGTGATATCATGTCAAATTTAACATACCTTACATAAAATTTGTCAAATCGAAAATAAGGTTTATTTGTATAAATTTATTTGAAGCAAAATACTAACCATGTATGTTATATCACTTTACAACTTATTTTAACGGTAGCTTAGTGACAAAACTGAAAAAAATTATACTCTCTTATGAATCAAAATGACAATCACCTAACTCTTTTAAACTTGGTTCATGAGTACACATATTGGTTACTAACTGTAAGTAATAAATCACTTAATACAATGGAACGAATATTTTAATTCATACAGATTGGTCGTTTGAATCTTGTTGATGATGTTTCGGACTGTAATTGATCATTCTCTTTTTTAGCATATATGCATCTTGTGCGGATTGTCTACATATTGTCAGTAAATCACAAGCATTTTAAGCAGAGATGGATGGTGACTATCAGTGGAATACAAGAATTAAAATTAAAATCCAAACAACTGCACAAACCAGTAGCTATCTGGACTCAGTAGTTATGTAGATAATGCTTTGGTATTTGAATTGAATTGCACTGAGTTTCAGTCCAAAAGTGAATATTAGCTCTGAAATGCAGGAAAATCCAGGTGGCGAGTCCCAAATAGGACGAAACATGAGTATGGGATTCTACTAATAGCCACGACCTATCAATACTTAAAATGGATGTAACCAATAATTCCAGATTATGATTCACATAATTATTACAAATTTGAAACCAATCAAGAATCTCATCCACTCATGTTATGAATATAATCTATCAAGTTCGACAAAGTATTTTTGCACTTGTTTATTACTCATACCCTATCTCTTTCATCAGTTTATCAACAGAGATAAAATAAATCGACTGACCAATAGAATTTGTTTTTTAAAATTTATTTTTTTCAATTAAAAGGCATTTCGACCTACCCGTTTTGCTTTACTGTCATGAATTCAATATTAGAATGTTAATTGTTTGTGATAATTGAAAGTGCTTTAAAGAATTTTTTAGAAAAAACATGTATTGATGAACATTAATGAGCAAAAATACATCTAAAGATTATTAAGACGATTATTTTCCATTGGTTAGTGACTATATTTCTTTTTTACCAGACTTAAGACTGAATTTGTACCAATGTTGTCTCCTTTATAAATCAATCACGTAATATTTTATTACTTTTGTAATTAAAATTAAGCATTTCCACCATTCCTTTTTTATTTTATAAAGTATGTAACGGTATGGAATCACTACTATGTTATGTACCATTTTAAAGATAACCTAAGTATTTTTTACTATTAAACTATTTGTACTGAATCATTTTAATATAATTTGCTTCTCTGTCAAAATATACATGATGTGATTCAAAGTTTTTAAAATACTTAATTTAAGTATAGATCAACTATTTGAACAGAAGCTGTTGTATTAATCTAAACCAATTTTCAGTAAGTCAGTCATACCTAATCTGTTCAATAAATGCACGACCTTAAGTTATGAGAACCTTTTTCTATAAAGTGTAATATGCGTCATTCTTATTTCCTCCAATAAACCTCCCAATATTGAAAACTTACATGTTTTTTCTTCAGTTCCACTGATCAAAACATCATTAGAAACCTTCAAAAGTCAAGCTGATCATCTAACTGGTTGTTTCAGTTTCATCGGAATTGTGTAAACAGATAGTTTTCCTAGATTTATGATATCGACAATTATCTGGACAGTTAATCGATGGTTGAAAGAAATAAGATACTGTTCACATTCAATGAGTCCGTTATCATAATAAATCAATGGATATCCTAATTTTACAATGTACACAGAACTAACTAAAAAGCTTGACCCACTTAAAAAAATTTTTTATTAAACTAACCTCGACAAGCAGATTTTAAATTTCCATAAATTTCTTGATTTGTTAATTCTTGACAAATTCAAAGTAATCGGGATAACATATTTGCGTTTTCCTAGTTTGCTCCTGAATCTGTATTAATTATGTGAGTGGTAGTTGGTTAAAAAAATAGTATAGAGGTTGAACAGAACAATTAGTATGTCTAACTCAAAGATTAGGTATACGTCTGTCTGACTGTTAACCGTATGATAAAATATTAACTGATCATTTGTTATTGCATTAGGGACATTAGTGAATAAAGCAATTTGTTATGTTCCGGTTGTTCTCATCGTTCTTTCGTACTGTCATTGGATACAAGAAAAGTAATTATTATTCTCGGAGCATTTAGTTTTTTACTAATTGTGAAACATTTTTAGAAGCATTGCTTGAAATTGTAATAATTCTCCTCGCTTTTGTATTCCACACACTACAACCAAATTATCGATTTTGGTGTCTTAAAATATTTATTTAAAACTCTGCTGCACGTTCATCTTGTAGATGATAGAGATAAGAACAAACAATGTTTATTGTTTATCATTAAAATTGCTATCAAATCACATATCTCACCACAGCGTGATTTATAGACATCAATGAATCTGAAAAAAAATTATAAATTCTATAATTTATGCAATCAACTACTTTCAACTATGTATCAGTCCCCATTTATGCATGAACACGTTTTTTCAAATAACTCGTAACTAATCGACTAGGAATTAGCTTTTTTAACATTTTTCAGTCAAATGGCTGATAAAAACTGCCTTAATAGTTAAGGAGAATTTGAAAATATCTAAAATAAACTCAGGCATAACGTAAGCATAACATTGATGGATGAAATGTATTGCTTAAATGATTATTCATCCAAAGGTTGGATTCATCATTGAAATACAAGTATGGTGTATCCGATCGAATAAGAAAAGCTTCATGATAAAACCACAAGCAGAAAATGATATTTGGATTTATTTTAATGAAAGTATAGAAAATATTATGAATGTGATATCTATATTCCATACCATTTTCACTAAACAGTTATTTAATATGTCTATGAAATGTTTCCAAAAAAGAAGCACATTCAATGGTTTAATTCGTTCTCATTTAGTATTAATACTACAACATTAAATACTATTACCTATATGTGTGTATGGGTACACAAACACACTTTCGACAAAAGATGAGTCATTTAAATACTGTGTATAAACGTGTTGTTTTCTTTTTCACATTTTACACCACACTACATATTGTTTTCTGTTTCTTCAGTATAGTTTGTTTGTTTATTTATATACCATTGATTTTATTTACCCTTTGTTTTATCTACAGTACACTACCTATCAGATAATTTTTACGTATAATCCACTATCATTTGATGGTAATTCAAAAGAAGTGGAATTCTCCATTCCATGGAATGATGATTATTGGCATTTGGGAATATTAATTAAACCAGATAAAGTTAGTTTACGTCAGAATTAGTTGTGTGTTCAACTTGTTTGGCATATATATAAGTAAAAATTAATACTGTTTATTTTATTTTCTTTTTAATATCCGAAATTTGTTTATTACTATTATTAATTGTCTATTTTATTATTGTATTATTAATCAAAATCAAACTTATAAACAATTCCAACGAATACCTCAAAATTAAATGACAAAACAAGAGTTATGTATGATAAAGTTGAAAACTTTTAAACGTAAACAGCATTATGATGTTGAAATTCTAACTGGAAAACTAAAACTATAGAATATTTCATGTTATTTTCTATATTTCAAGTTAGTCTGTGTTTAAGTCAAACTGAACTTAAACAGAAAATCATTTCGAGCGAAATTGAAATGTGCAACATAAATTGTGCAGTTAATATTATGAATTAAAGAAAAACACAGATAAATCTGTAGTTTACTCACATGAAGTAATATATGACTGGTAAAAATAACTATGGAATATAATTAATCATAAAGACTTTATAAAGCAATCAACAGAATACCATATCTGTGTTAAAAAATACGTTTGTTTATTTGTTTGTTTTTATTTTAATAATAATTCTGTTTTCTTATGTAAGTTATGAAGTTCTTGTTAAATTAAAAAATATGTTTCTTTGAATCAAAGTTTTTGATTAATACATTTTAACAATTTGCATACTTTTGCTACGAAAATTGTTTCTAACCACAAATAAATGTTCCATGTCATCGTAAACTACAGTTTGTTTTAGATCGATGCAAAAATGTTATTTTTAAAGGCGAAACACAATAATGAATTTACTGTAGTTATAAAAGATTTGCTTCAAACGACAGAATATTATGTTTTCTAATTAGAAATATTTGCAACATCGACACTTATAGTGAAGTAAATCCAGCTGATGAGTCCTTGATAGGACGAAACAGTGGTCGTGAATTCAGTTGCTAGTCACAATCCGAAATATCTCACCAATACTACACTTTTTTATTTTAAAAAAAACATGATTTAAGCTCATTATTATGAAAGAGCTTTATTAGAGAAGTGAACAAATCATAGATTCGTGATTATCTAGGATCAATGAATCCAGAACAACTACGTGATAATTGATTGTACATTATGTGCATACAGAAGATTCTAATTTCAAAAGATTGTTTTCATCTCGTCAATCATATTGAGTTATACTTTTGCTTTGATGAAGTATCCGGTGTTGATGAGTTGATCGACTACTTGATAGATATGATGTGCAGCTCAGTCGGATGGTTTTGGTGAAGTTTCGTCCTTCAAGCTAGATGGTTTAAATGTGAAGCTCTTATTATCTTTCCGGAGAATATCATCAGTATAAAATTCAGCTCCAAGAACAAAACTTCAAAAAAAACTTGAAAGGTTCATTGAGGCAGTTAATCAAAAATTCATCTTAGTGGTTGACTTAAAGACATTGCTGGCTGAACGACTAACATAGCTGGTTTTACACTAACAAGAAAATATAATACGATTGAACTTATGATTGATATAATGGACCAATCAAAATTCGTCAAGTAAGATGCCTATGTTATACCAATCAAAAAACCTCCTAATAACAAGTACATGTTATTGGCTAAGAAATGATTTCATTTTCTATGGAGTAGATGTAAAATAAGTGCTTATACACTTGATTCAGTTTAGTCCAGTAAACTTCCTTCTTCACTCTTGGTCTTCTTACTCGATAGCTGGTTGACGGTCTACGTATAAGAAGTTCGTGTATCAGTATCACTTTTGTACACCGCTTGTTATATAAAAGACATTAAGGGAAAATTGTCCCTTATTAATTATTACAAATCAATATACCGTTTTCACTGCGACATAAACATATTAATTAAAAATTTAATAACTATTCACATCATTTATTGTTCAACTCAAATAAGTTTCCACTCTACAGGAACCATGTACTAAATGAATCGTTTTGTTGCCAATATTCTTAAAACAAGTGTTCATTTCAAACCTATTCACTCATTAACATTTTATTAGTGTTCTAAACAAAACACTAACAGTTCAGATTGAAAAATTCGTTTGGTATAGATAACTTGTTTAGTTATTTTTCATAGTGATCCAAAAGATGTCCTAATTTAGTAACAGCACAGATAATGCACACAAAAAGACTTAAATGTTTACCATACAAAATGAAAACTGAGGAATCAAATTACTTTTCAAACAAGCATAAATTTGGAGATAGGTTTTTATAAAGTAATCAACCCGTTAGATAAACTAATTCGAAAGTCATGAAATATTTTATACAGTGATTTGTACGCATTTAGTATTACCAGCCTGTAAATTCGAACAGATTACTGCTGGATGTATTAGTCACTTAAATCATTTTATTTATCTGTAGTTTCTAGTATTATGATTGTGCCCATGGTAATGTTTTTTATCGATTAATATTTAATTCTAACTTTAGTTTCATTGCATTTCTTTTCTTTTCGTTCCTTCTTGTACACACGTCCATACCATTAAAGATTGACTTCTATACATCGTGTGAAGAAACTCAAAGGATCGCTTATCATTTCTATCCAATTCAAGGTTTACTAGGTGAACCATTATTTCGCAAAGGTGCAACATTTTATGCACTTAATAGTGGCCTAAAGAATGCATCTGAATATTTTGAGGTAAACTCCCCAAATCATTCTAGTTACTGTTTAATTTCTTTTGTTTATTTGTGTTTTTACTTCAAATTTTAATTGACTTCTCAGCAATTTCTTCACTTGTAGACAATAAAAATAAATCTTCCTTTTTAAAAGAGTGTAGGTTTTGTGGTTATAATTCATTTATAGGTAAATAAATATGGAAACCACATGTATAACTGATTGTGTTGTACTACTTTAATGAGTGATTCAAATATACGCTATTGTTTTAGAGGGTAACTGAAAAAGAAAGAGAAACACTAACATCAATAATGACTCTTATTTAATATTTCTTTATCGAAACTAGAGCTCTTTTAGAGTGTATCGTAGTAAAGACTTTTATATTTAGAAAAAACGGTAAACACTACTTTAAATCAAATGTACGAGCTGAGTATCTCAATCACTCCAAGATCTAAATTATGATAGTATACGGACATGTTTTTATAAAAGTGGACTTTTAACCAAAAGTTAAAATTTATGGGAAATAGGTCACAAAATTTATTATCAAGTACAACATTTTATTATTTTATACACCACGAGTATTTTCCAAGGTAAGTTCCGAGGTATAAGCAAACTTACACAACCACTAATGTATTGTACATTTGAAAATGAAAAGGATACATTTGAATACAAAATAAACTTGTTCTGTAACCGAACTAAATTAAATAACTAAACATTTACATATTGCGGCTATTAATTACAATACATTAAACAACTACACACTTAACTATGATTACGTGATGTTAATGTTTAAAATGAACATTTGTTTATTTCCGACATCTTTTTATGAAAAGGTGCATCATGTAAAAGTCAAGCTACAGTCATATCCTCAAAATGAGGTTTGATTAGTAAATTTATATAGTAAATGTAGTAAATATTTGTAATTGTACTTATCAGCGCAACTATACTGGATAGAACTTTTCTTACTATTGAAAATCGATATTAGCAAATCAATAATTAGATCTAAGCGACTTTATTTCTAACAATCTCAACATATTTATTGCATTAATATTATTAAAAAGGTAGTCATATGTTTATATGATATGTGATTGAGATTTAACTTGTTCAAAGTATATACATTAATTAACTGTTGTTTATTCCCATCTAATCGTCGATTCGGTAATTGTTGTGTTTTCTTTCACAGGGTTATTTAAAAGCTTTCAGTTTTCATTCAGATGAAAATGCTCTCCGATATATGTGTACCAAATCGGAAGTAAGGTTATTTTTGTTTGTTTTTTTCTCCATAAATATTTACTAGTTCTAGAGAGATTAATAAGTTAACGGTTACATTTTGCTGTCAGAATATTGTCTGTATATGATATTTTTAGCTCTATAATTTATGCTCTATTTAAACTAGATGTAATTTACTGAGCAATTATTTGATTGTAATATAATGAGTGAATTAATTGTCTATCAGAGATACTACACGAATAATTTCAATGCTTATTATTAGTAAAATATGAGATTGATATAATTTGCTTTAATGCATAAATTGGTTACTTTGTTAATATTAGGGAAAATATCATTAGACTTGTATGGTTACAACTTCCTTCAAAGAATAAGTAAACTATGACACGACAGACAGTTTTGCTAGTAGGAATTTAAAATCCTAAAGTGTAACAAAATTGCAGGTACACAACAGTATAAGAAATACATTATTTTCGTTCAAAAGCACAGTAACGTAACCCAACATATACCAATAAGTATCGTTGCTAAGATTTTTAATTTAATGTAAAACTCACTATAAATAATATTTTAAGTAAATTCACTGCATCAATACAATCTTTTACTCGTGTCTCGTTCTATTTGGGACTTATAATCTGAATGTACCTGAATCTTAGTTCCAATGTTATTGAGACTTCAAATGTCAACGGTTAATTTACTAAGCTACTGGTTCCGGGCAGCTACTAACCTGTCTAATGGGTATAAGGTTATTTGTAAGACTTGTATTCAACCGGTATTACTATTCAGAAAATGATAGAAATCTATGTTCGATTAGACTAACATATTACATGTCTCAATATGTTTGTCATATTTATGGGAGTTAAACAGTTATTTATTAAAACTTACCGAGAATCTTAATGAAAGGGTTTACCTTATATTTTTACTACGTCAGTCAGTCAGTCAGTCAGCTGCAACGTAGGACCAGGCACGTATATGCATCGGTCCAAGTTGCCATACCGCATTAGCACAACAAGATGAACACCGGATTCATAGGAGTAGTTAATTCAGTGGTGGTAATATATAGAAGAAAGTGTGTATAAGGAGATAGTACAGGAAGGTAGAATTAGTTCCTAGACAGATATGAAGCGATTTTAATCTCTTAATTTAAGGAAGACAGAGAGTGTATACACCGACGCCATTGTGATCGATTCTGAGCCATGTCACCAAGAGTCTCCAACCATTGGTTACGATAGTCACGCGGACCCCAACCAGGCAGTCTGAATCTCCCAACATGGCTCAGACCAGAAGTTAATGACTTCAAGCACTGATGCCACGTTTTGGTTTGGCCGCCCCTAACTTTATTCCAATCATCCCCTGCACTAGTCAGCATTACGCGTCGTGGTAATCGGTGTTCAGGCATACGCAACACGTGGCCCAACCATCTCAGTCGATGAAGATTCATAACCTCATCAACTGATTTACCATCATTCCCTAATACCCTGCGTCTAACCTCACTATTACTTACCCGGTGATCCCAGCAGATACCCGCAATATTTCTAAGGCACCTGTGGTCAAATACTAGTAACGTACGAATATCTTCCACTCTTAAAGGCCATGTTTCGCAGCCGTATAGAAGGACGGAACGAACTGCCGCGCAGTATACTCGTCCCTTAATTGATAGACGGATATCTCGCCTTCGCCATAGATGACGTAAGTTGGCAAAGGCCAAGCGAGCTTTTCGAATCCGTGCTGAGATTTCGTCAGACACCAACCCATTAGGGCTGATCAGACTTCCAAGATAAGTGAATTTGTCAACGCGTTCGACAACTTCACCCCCTATCCTTAGTTCAGGTGTTGACTCAGACCAGTCCTGAAGCAACAACTTGCATTTAGAGGGAGAAAAGCGCATCCCAAACATTCTGGCATTGTTGCTCAGTGCTACCAAAAGACTCTGCATTTCATCAGCGTCTTCACCAAACAGGACTATGTCATCTGCGTATTCTAAATCAATAAGTGGACCTCCTAGTAGGAGATCAATCCCCGAGAATTCAGTCGATGAGAGCGTTATTTCCATCAGGATGTCTATGATAAAGTTAAACAAAAAAGGAGAAAGTGGACAGCCTTGGCGGACGCCACTTGAGGTTGCAAAAGCAGATGACAGTTCGCCATAGGCTCTGACCCGACCAGTAATGTTCGAGTAAAGAGCCTTCACAAGGTTTATGTACTTCTGAGGTACGCCTTTCAATGACAGACACTGCCACAGAACCTCTCGGTCAACAGAGTCAAACGCTGCTTTTAAGTCAAGGAATACCACCATTGTCGGACGCCGATAAGTATGCCTGTGTTCTAGAACCTGACGAATGGTGAATATGTGGTTGATGCAGCCACGACCAGGTCTGAAGCCAGCCTGATTTTCACGTGTTTGCAGTTCACGAGTCTTAGTTAGGCGTCCGAAAATTATCGAAGCTAGTATTTTAGATAATATATTAGTCAAACTAATCCCTCTGTGGTTGTCACAGGATGATTTTGACCCTTTCTTAAATATTGGGACGATAAGTGATTGTGACCAGTTAGATTGGATAACGTCTAACTCCCAGATTTTAGCTAAAATATTAGTCAACCTAATCGCTAAGACTAGACCACCATCCTTAAAGACCTCTGGGGCCAATCCATCTGGACCAGCTGCCCTTCCTCGTTTCAGATTAGCTATAGCCTTTTGAACTTCAGCTATAGTTGGAGGACCTACTTCAATGTTCCATTCACACTGTCTGGGAATAGAGGGTAGTTGTAGAGTAGCTGAAGGCCAGCTAAACTGCTCCTTAAAGTGTTCCGCCCATCGTTCTAAGCGTCTGGACTGGGAGCAGATGAGAGTGTCGTCTTTTTTCCGAAATGGTCTGACTTACACTTGATTTATTAATTCCAGTTTCTTTTATTAGTCTGTAGAGTTGTCTTGTGTTCCCTATAGCCGCCGCCTTTTCCATCTCTTTTGCTTTCGTTGCCCATCACTGCTCACGATCATTCCTTAGACTTTTGCTTAACCTAGATCTGATTTCTTTACGCTCTTCATCGTGTTCAGAACCTGATGGGATGTGTAAACATTTACAATTTTCATATTTTATTTTCTTGATTATACTGTCACCTGTCGGAAAGTACTATTATAAACTAATCACAGAGCACTTAAATATAAAGAACTACACTAAAGAATCGGCTTGTACGTAATTTTGAAATGTCGAAAATTCAAGATTCTATTCATCAGAACATTACTAACATACTATTATCTTATTATCAGAAATAATTACTATTTATTTAGTTTATAAGACATTTATACAACCAAGAATGTGCAACTCACTCAATGAGAGTGAAACTGTTTATGAAGTACTGAAAGAATTTTACATTATTTTTATTACTCTACATAACTACATAATTAATTGAGAAAATTTTACTATTGATTAATATTGGTTATCAAATTTTAGTCAAATTTCACCATTTATTTTAGAATTATGAAGGGAGTGGTGATGCAGATCGTTTTAATTATGATCCCGAATTCGGAAACATATTAATTGTAAGTTCTCAAAGGAGCATATTTTTTAGTAAATTCATAAAGCGTATCCCCTATATATATATATATATATATCGTAACATTATTGGGTGTGGCACTTTTAATGTCATGGGATGATGAATTTCAAGCTAATCGCAACTCAGAAAAAATATGATCTTTGGACTTGATAAATATATACTATGGAAGTAAATAATTAACATCTTGTATTTACTAAGAGATTTTCATTCGTTAGAATAATACAGAGATGTTTACTAAAAACTACATTGTCAAATTTAGTCTTATCACAGCTACAAATACAACCTTAATTATCGACCATAAATCATGCAAGTATTAAAATGACATTATTAGCAATAAATTTATTAAGCACAATTAACCTTATCCATTGCATGTCCATTAACTGTAGCCTACTAAATGAAAACGATAGTTATACGTGACCGGAAATATGTATTCTTAATCAATAATGTAAGGCGATTGACAGCATTTTGACGAATACAAGTCATCACTTGTAAGCTAGTTAATTATGTCATCAATTTTTTTCTCCAATCCTACTACTTATTTGAATCATTTACAAACAATACACATTGTAATCAATATAATATTTACATGAAAGGAAAAACAAAAAGATTTTCTCAGACTATATTATTTTTTGAACGCCTTTTCAGTAGAATGCTATGCCCAATAAAAATTGGGCACGATTAACTGAATGATGGTAGTTTAAGTAATAAGAATAGCTTAAACAACAAAGGGATGACTCAATCAAAATAGTCTGTAGTGGCTTAGCTTCGTTAATCAATCACCTTGATAACCTTTAGCATATAAATCCCCAACGATATTTAAATTCAGAAGGCAATAAGAAGTGGCGACTACAGCTTATTAGCAGATAGCATAAATAACAAAGTTACAAGCACATCGAGCGAATTGGAGCAGAAAGGCCAATCTGTGTGAGAGCGAATACAGAGGTGAATTTATAGTCACATCGAATGCAAGGCGCAGCGAAACAAGGCAATTAGTAAGATTCAAGCACACACGTTGACAAAGAAATAGACAAACTGTTAATGTTCGAATAATACTGTCTGTTAAATAAGTCAATAAAAGCTTTCGACAAAATTAACCATAAACAAAAGTGATTGTAAACGAGTTTCTATCAGTCGAAGAGAAAAGCACAGTAAGAGATCCGATTCAACATCTTGGGTTCCTCAATGAATCGTCATTGTAAAGATAACGTAAATAAAGTAAATTGGCTTTGTATTGTACCATTATCCATGCTAATTTAAATAAAGTCATTTATTCAAAGAAAGTGATATTTGACAGTAAACTTGTATCTCAAAAATAAACTTTATATATATCAGCCAAATCATTAAAAAAGAGAGACAATTTCAACTGAATATTTACAGAAAATGAATCAGAGCCATTTGTAAAATATTGATCATCTTCAATTGAATATAAAATTTGCTCTAGTAGTACAAATTGAATGATAGCAACAAAAAAATTTTATCAGTGAACATTTAACTACTGCAGAGTTTGATAGTTAATGTTTTACATTAAAAAATCACTTATTCATGTTTTAAAGCCAGTTAATATAAATCAATTAATGTATAAATTAGTGATCCATTCAGACAACTTATTTTAAAAACTATACTAGTATTCTATTTTTTTTTTAAATAGCATTCATTACAAATTATAACGATTGACTTTGTTTTATTATGTCAAATGAACCAAACGTTCAACAACAACCAAGAAAAGAATCATTATTTTGTATTAAAACTATTTTTCATTTGATAATTTAATTAATTCTAATTACAATTTATTGTTATTTCTGATTTAAAAATAAATTTCAGTAATCAGTAACTTGCTCCAAAAATAATTAACATGTCACATTGATATATATATATATATATATATATATATATATATATATATATATATATATATATATTTGCTTACATCTATTAAGGCACATATCCCGTTACAAAGATTTTAGTGTTAAATTTGACGAATACTGGAAATATCAACAATAAGTTTTATATATACCTTAAAGAAATGAAAAGGTTAAATTATTGAATTTTTTCCTTGTAAATTAATTTAGATCCTATAGTCTAGAAATTACACTGAGAGTGTATAACCATAAAAAATTGACTTCTGAAACAAAACTTACTTTACACTGTTTAAATTTTGATCATCTTGTCAACGTGCGTTAAAACAGTTGTCGATTTTGAATGGTGGATGGAATTAAAAACAAGTAGATTCTTTTCATCTTTGTTAAAGTTTGTTAGTTGATTGTACCTGGATCCGAATGTTGATATTTTAATCCAATGACAATCGCTTTGAAATTTATAGCTTTATTCATTTGTTACCAAGTCATAAAACTCGCCACTTATTCATTATATTCAGTTATTGATGTAAAAAAAGACTAAATCTGGTGACCTTCAGCCAACAACTATGAAAACTGTAAAATCGAACACAACTTCACCTATTTTGATTCATACTAAATATTGACTATTGAATTAAGAATTTGCACGAGTATCAATGATATGGTAAATGGCCTAGATTCAATGACTTCCATATAAATCAACTGTTGCCTATTCAAAAATCTTGTAATATATAAGATGTAAGAGAAATTCGGTTACAAAAACAGGTGTGTTTAAAAGAAAACATACTTTATGACTGGATCTACGCTTAATCTATCATTAAATGTTTTGAATTAAAACTGGTTTAGTTTGTCTTAGCAACAGAAACACTTTGAATATTTTACTCACTAAAAATGAAAAAGAAAAATTTCAGAAAAGTTTTGACAGACACAAATACAAGAAATTGATAGTAAATTTAAATTTAACGACTAATTATAAGCTTGATAACAAGTTTATGGGTGAATATGGTTAGTTATTAATGTGTAAACAATTATAGTGTTTCATCATGTTAAAATTTTAGCTAATTTTGCATGATGAGTTGTAATACGCTTTTACAACCGCCACTTGTATCAATTAATAAATCAAGTGAAAAGGATTATTAACTTTAATGATTATTAATTTTTGATTCGGATATTTTCCCTATAACAAAGAAACTACCATTCACAGAGTAATTAAATGTCATGAAGTACTGGGAACGTTTTTACTTTTTGTGATGTCTCAGAATTGTATGCACGCATAATTCATTTCAATGTGAAATTCATCAGAATCAGAATGGGAGTTTGTGGAGATCGTAGTAATTTTAACGTTCGAATTCATGAGTCGATTAAAGCTAGACCACCATTAGAAACCTGGAAGCACTAGACGACCATTTCGTTCTAGTATGGGACCCCTTGGTAGTGCGCATCCACGATCCCGCATGCTGGACTCAAACACGGGACCGTCAGTCTCGAGTGCAAACACTTCACTGAGCTGGCATCCAATTGTGTTAATGTCCAACTTCAGTCGATCCATGATTTCTCACAGCTTTTCCTACACTACCTGAGGTAAATACCTGTCTCTACCCGACACGGATTGGACTCCACTGATCACGGCTTCTCACTAGAAATCCAGGTTTTCAATGGTGGTCTGGCTTAGATCGACTCATGAATCCAACTGTTAAAATTCATTATACTCACATCCTTCGACGAAGCGTTTTGACTCAAGCAATTCACATGCTTAGTCACATCCAACTCGCAATATACTTCATCTTTTTCATGTGACTGAGAAACAGGTGATCCACCTCAATACATTCATACGGCTTCCTTTCTATTCATCAATAATATGTATCAAACGTTGGTAAACTGAAGAATTGTTCTGTTTGTTCAACGGACTAAAATAAATGTCAATTAGTGAGAAATTCCCGCCCTATGCTTTTTCAGTCAAGTGGCCGTATACAACGTAGGTGTTATGCAACTGTGTCTAAGCTGCTACATCACAGAATAGTACAGTGAGAAAATTACCAAGATAAGAGTAGGAGAAGAAACAAAATTAAGTCGAATGTAAGGCTAAGATTGATAAACATATTTTTTGTATCCATATCGAGATTTCGTTTGCCAACAAGCTACCAAGGTTTGTGAAAATTTCAAGATGAAGAGCAGTGATTGACATACTCAACAACTTGACATGAATCGTTTGCATCTTAGTCCGTATTGTATGTTTGATTATATTATCTTATAACAGAATTCACATTCACTTGATCCAAAAATCACCAGTTTATTACTAACATATAATAGAGCTTTATCTTGTAGTGAATCGTGTATATTAACAGATTCATAGTGATATTTCGTAAACAATTATCGATACATACATTTAGCTGGCTAATGTTCCTAGGTAGTAATTATGAAAATGACAGTTCAGTATATTGAGTAGATAAAAACGAATATCTTTAGACTGTGCGTGAATGTGTAAGTTGATAGTGTTCCGTTCTAATTATAACATACACAACAGAACGTTAAGGCCATCAAAATATACACAACATATTCTTTTCTTGACATGTAAATCATAACAATTTTGTTTCTATTTGTTTATTCAATACAGACTAGCTCAATACAAGACGATGAAGAGGTAAGTTTTCAAAAATTTATATAAAGCATACAAATAATATAATACTCAATAGTTTTTGACGCAGTGGAGATCTGTAGTTAAAGCGGATGACTTTGTAGTTATTGCGGCTGTCTCTGTCGAATAAATTAATTGTGAAGATCTGTTTCAGTCTTTACAAACACCACCAATATCATAAATTATAAAACGAATCAGCTAGTGGAATTTCTTACGCTTGTGCTGCTGATGGTGGCTGGGAGCCAAATGAAACCTCTTCAGTTGAATCGCTTAACTGAGGGTGAGACTATAACTTGTGGACGACCTTTGAGCGACACTGGAGTGACCTTGAGGATGTCCATCTATTTACTAGGGCCAAATGAGGGTTATAAACATGTTGGAAAATAAGCATTATGGTTTGCAGTTGATGGTTAGGATTAAGAATTATATTCAGGGTTTTCATCCCAAACTGACATCAGCCAAAATGCCAAATGCATGAATGAATTTGGCATCAAAATCCAAAACCTGTTATTCTAAATTTGATTGATCCGTCCATAAATTATAGTCTCACCCTAATTACAATCGATCAGAACTGGAACTTGGTGAAATATTTGTTTGTCTATTCATAGTATATTTAATTGATAATATTGTTCAACAACGAACACATTCTGAAGCTTATTCCTAGCTGAACATCTTCAAACTCAAGGAGGTTTTTTACTTTAGCTCAGATTTGGTCAGTTGAAAATGCAACTTATTAATCAGGATTTTCTAAATTTCATTCTGTTTAATTCTAGTGATATTTTCATTTAACTATTAGGTATGTAATAACAATGTCTTAATATGAAGCATAGTTCAAATTGGGTAACACATTATTTAAACTTAACGTGTACCTTTACATCAGTTTAATTAAGGATTTTCGATATTTATATGTATCAACACTCAGACAATATATACTAGCAATCCTGTAGTAAAAATCATGAGTCCGAATTCCTTATATGATCTTTAACTGAACATCTACTGTTTATTCCATTTCACATAAATAACATTAAATCTAATTAAATGGAATGTCGATTAACTTTCTTAAATGTGAATGAGTGAATTGTGGAAAAACTTACTGCATCAATATTGATACCATAATAAATCTAAAAACCGTTTAGTTACAATGTTCAGAATTTCTCAAAGAAATACATCTTGTAACCAATATAGTAGCTAACTGTATCGCTACAAGTTTAGGATTTACTTAAAACTTTATAAAGTACGAAAACATTTAGACGGATTTATTTAATACTTTCAAAATTACGAAGTACACATTCACTTACTGAAATAAAAGACTGTGTATTTTAGTGAAGTAGGAGGATTAGTAGTTATGGAACTTGGTTTTTAATCAATAGACCGACATTTCATTCGTGTTTTACATAATTAAATTAAGAAAGCTCATTAGTGCTGGCTAACCATCACAGAAACTGTTTGACTTAAAGTCTGGTACATTAACCTATACTTGGTTAATGAGTTACATTCCATAATTAGTGTACTTTAATGCTAAAACCAGTAACTCTGTAACCCTGAAGAGTATTTATATACACATAAACTCCTCAGTCCTATGTGTTAGATGCTTTCATAATATAACCTTCTGTCTCATTATGAATTTCTGTTAATTTAATTAGGAAATAAAAACTCGTTATAAAATGAGTATTTTGTGAAGTGCAGAGGAGAAATTGTACTCTCAGATATTATTATAGCAAAACTAACTATTAACCGATGCTCAACTTTTAACTTTTATTTAATTCAATTGTTTATCGTGACTTAGTTTGTCCAAAACTAATATGTTAATATTTCGCTAATGAATTAGATGAATAAGTGGGTTTTGTAGTTACTGCTAATACATAAGGAATCCGCTAAAGGAGACCATAATCCAACAAAACCGATCTAATTCATTCATGAATGTAGACAAATGGGAAATGTGAACTCTGTCGATCAGCAATACACATCATACCCATTTAGAAAGTTTGTAGACATCTTGACTCAGTAGCCTAATGTATAACGCATTAGTGTTTCAAGTGATAGATGCCGTGGTCGTAGGCTTATTTTCAACATTAAAATTAGTATCCAGATACATTAAACTGACTAAATTCAGACAAAACTAGATGTAAGTCCTGTGTTCCACTGATCGTCACCACCAAGAAGTAAAATGAGATTTCTACTATAGGTTGATAAAAACCAATCACTGAAAACATCCTCGTTTCAGCTATTCAAGGTCTAAAACTTGATATAAAATGATAAAGTATCATTAACAAAACAATGGGGCTTTCTAGATTTCAGAATGATCCAATTTTACATGTAATTATTGAGCATTCTATAAAATGACGATAACTGTTTGAGTTTAATTGAAAAATCAAGCCTAAAAATTATTTATTAATAAGCTCGAAATACCTATATCTAAAAAAAGGACAAAAATGTGTAAAACATTTCAATCAGAATGTTTTTGACTTTCATCATTTCCAGGGTATGTAATTGCAAAAAGAAGAAAACAATAAATGAGCTTTGAATTCTTATTCACAATGTAAACAGTGGAAACTGAGAGATTTTGTATTTTAAAAAATAACGAGATAAATTAGTCAAAAACGATATACCATGAAATTAAAATAGCTGATAGTTATTACCATAAAATAATACACGATATAGGAATAGTAGAACAAATAACACAAAGAAGAGTAAATGGAGAAAAAAGTAGGAAAAAACACCTAATTCCCTTCTCGATAAATACTTCCTATTTTAGAAGGAGATTACAATAGACAATGAAGATTATGAAAGTAGAAAACAAGAAAATAAAAAAGAAATTACAACAGAAACTGACAACAAAGAAATGGCAACGACCGAGAAAACTGACATAAAACTGAGAACGGAATATAAATATAGATATATAATGAAAGATCCAGGAACACGAGGTCTAGTCGACATACATGATATGAAGGAAAATATAGTTATAAACGGAGCTATGAAACTAACAGATGAATTAGCCATACTACCAAATGGAGATATTGTGGCAACGAGGCCGCTCATTGAAAACCAACGTTTCATCATAGCGGAAAACATAAGTCAAATAGGTGACAAAAAGGTTTATGAAACTCACAACGGAGAAATGATAGAAGGGGCGGAAGTAGATGACCAAGGAGTAATATATTTACCGAATTCAACACTTGCTATATTAGTTTCACTCGACAAGGATCGATATATAGTACTGAAAAATAATGAAACAGCGAGAGAATCAATACTTGATCGTCGCCTCGGAACAGAACTAGTAAATGCCACGCTCCACCATAATGGAATGATCAAATTAGCTACTGGACAGCTCGTAGCTCCCTCCTCTCCGGAAGGCTCTAAATACATGGTAGTCACAGATGAAGACGACCAAACCCTTCTAGTTTACGATCGTTTTACAGGAGAACAGATCAAGGGTGCACAGGTTGATCCCGATGGTTTGATTCAGTTCGAAGATGGACGCATGGCCATCGAGCCATCGTCTAAACTAGATAGATATGTTATAATGACGGACCCAAACAACGGTGAAAAACTAGTTTTCGACAGACGGACAGGTAGTCATATCAAGGATGCTGTGTACAGTGAAGATGGGTTGATCCGCTTTCCAGACGGTAGGCGCGTTGCACCAGGTTCCAATGATAACAGTTCACAGTATCTAATTCACTTCGACTCTACAACGAAGGAGAACTTGGTTTTTGACAGACATACTGGTGAACAGGTCGAGGGCGCCTCAGTAGATTCACGAGGTTTAATACTTCTCCCCGACGGTAAGTTGCATCTAGATCAAAACCAACTAAAGCATAGGTACATTGTCCTACAGGAGACAACCGATAATACCACATTCGTAGTCGACACCAAATCAGGCCAGAAAATTGATGGAGCAGTTGTTTTGGACAATGGCCTCGTCAAGCTACCCGATGGAAATCTGGTTGCACCCAGCTCAAACACAAGCGCAAATTACATGGTGGTCGAATTGACTGAGGGCGAAGGGAATCCAGTAGTATTCGATCGCAGGACAGGTGAGCAAGTCTCAGATGCTTACCTAGACAAGGATGGTGTCATACACTTGCCAGATGGACGTTTGGCTATCTCGGCGTCAGAAACTATGGATCGCTACCTTGTGGCACAAGATAAACTGACAGGAGACCCTGTGATGTTTGATCGTCGCCTCGGAACAGAACTAGTAAATGCCACGCTCCACCATAATGGAATGATCAAATTAGCTACTGGACAGCTCGTAGCTCCCTCCTCTCCGGAAGGCTCTAAATACATGGTAGTCACAGATGAAGACGACCAAACCCTTCTAGTTTACGATCGTTTTACAGGAGAACAGATCAAGGGTGCACAGGTTGATCCCGATGGTTTGATTCAGTTCGAAGATGGACGCATGGCCATCGAGCCATCGTCTAAACTAGATAGATATGTTATAATGACGGACCCAAACAACGGTGAAAAACTAGTTTTCGACAGACGGACAGGTAGTCATATCAAGGATGCTGTGTACAGTGAAGATGGGTTGATCCGCTTTCCAGACGGTAGGCGCGTTGCACCAGGTTCCAATGATAACAGTTCACAGTATCTAATTCACTTCGACTCTACAACGAAGGAGAACTTGGTTTTTGACAGACATACTGGTGAACAGGTCGAGGGCGCCTCAGTAGATTCACGAGGTTTAATACTTCTCCCCGACGGTAAGTTGCATCTAGATCAAAACCAACTAAAGCATAGGTACATTGTCCTACAGGAGACAACCGATAATACCACATTCGTAGTCGACACCAAATCAGGCCAGAAAATTGATGGAGCAGTTGTTTTGGACAATGGCCTCGTCAAGCTACCCGATGGAAATCTGGTTGCACCCAGCTCAAACACAAGCGCAAATTACATGGTGGTCGAATTGACTGAGGGCGAAGGGAATCCAGTAGTATTCGATCGCAGGACAGGTGAGCAAGTCTCAGATGCTTACCTAGACAAGGATGGTGTCATACACTTGCCAGATGGACGTTTGGCTATCTCGGCGTCAGAAACTATGGATCGCTACCTTGTGGCACAAGATAAACTGACAGGAGACCCTGTGATGTTTGATCGTCGCCTCGGAACAGAACTAGTAAATGCCACGCTCCACCATAATGGAATGATCAAATTAGCTACTGGACAGCTCGTAGCTCCCTCCTCTCCGGAAGGCTCTAAATACATGGTAGTCACAGATGAAGACGACCAAACCCTTCTAGTTTACGATCGTTTTACAGGAGAACAGATCAAGGGTGCACAGGTTGATCCCGATGGTTTGATTCAGTTCGAAGATGGACGCATGGCCATCGAGCCATCGTCTAAACTAGATAGATATGTTATAATGACGGACCCAAACAACGGTGAAAAACTAGTTTTCGACAGACGGACAGGTAGTCATATCAAGGATGCTGTGTACAGTGAAGATGGGTTGATCCGCTTTCCAGACGGTAGGCGCGTTGCACCAGGTTCCAATGATAACAGTTCACAGTATCTAATTCACTTCGACTCTACAACGAAGGAGAACTTGGTTTTTGACAGACATACTGGTGAACAGGTCGAGGGCGCCTCAGTAGATTCACGAGGTTTAATACTTCTCCCCGACGGTAAGTTGCATCTAGATCAAAACCAACTAAAGCATAGGTACATTGTCCTACAGGAGACAACCGATAATACCACATTCGTAGTCGACACCAAATCAGGCCAGAAAATTGATGGAGCAGTTGTTTTGGACAATGGCCTCGTCAAGCTACCCGATGGAAATCTGGTTGCACCCAGCTCAAACACAAGCGCAAATTACATGGTGGTCGAATTGACTGAGGGCGAAGGGAATCCAGTAGTATTCGATCGCAGGACAGGTGAGCAAGTCTCAGATGCTTACCTAGACAAGGATGGTGTCATACACTTGCCAGATGGACGTTTGGCTATCTCGGCGTCAGAAACTATGGATCGCTACCTTGTGGCACAAGATAAACTGACAGGAGACCCTGTGATGTTTGATCGTCGCCTCGGAACAGAACTAGTAAATGCCACGCTCCACCATAATGGAATGATCAAATTAGCTACTGGACAGCTCGTAGCTCCCTCCTCTCCGGAAGGCTCTAAATACATGGTAGTCACAGATGAAGACGACCAAACCCTTCTAGTTTACGATCGTTTTACAGGAGAACAGATCAAGGGTGCACAGGTTGATCCCGATGGTTTGATTCAGTTCGAAGATGGACGCATGGCCATCGAGCCATCGTCTAAACTAGATAGATATGTTATAATGACGGACCCAAACAACGGTGAAAAACTAGTTTTCGACAGACGGACAGGTAGTCATATCAAGGATGCTGTGTACAGTGAAGATGGGTTGATCCGCTTTCCAGACGGTAGGCGCGTTGCACCAGGTTCCAATGATAACAGTTCACAGTATCTAATTCACTTCGACTCTACAACGAAGGAGAACTTGGTTTTTTGACAGACATACTGGTGAACAGGTCGAGGGCGCCTCAGTAGATTCACGAGGTTTAATACTTCTCCCCGACGGTAAGTTGCATCTAGATCAAAACCAACTAAAGCATAGGTACATTGTCCTACAGGAGACAACCGATAATACCACATTCGTAGTCGACACCAAATCAGGCCAGAAAATTGATGGAGCAGTTGTTTTGGACAATGGCCTCGTCAAGCTACCCGATGGAAATCTGGTTGCACCCAGCTCAAACACAAGCGCAAATTACATGGTGGTCGAATTGACTGAGGGCGAAGGGAATCCAGTAGTATTCGATCGCAGGACAGGTGAGCAAGTCTCAGATGCTTACCTAGACAAGGATGGTGTCATACACTTGCCAGATGGACGTTTGGCTATCTCGGCGTCAGAAACTATGGATCGCTACCTTGTGGCACAAGATAAACTGACAGGAGACCCTGTGATGTTTGATCGTCGCCTCGGAACAGAACTAGTAAATGCCACGCTCCACCATAATGGAATGATCAAATTAGCTACTGGACAGCTCGTAGCTCCCTCCTCTCCGGAAGGCTCTAAATACATGGTAGTCACAGATGAAGACGACCAAACCCTTCTAGTTTACGATCGTTTTACAGGAGAACAGATCAAGGGTGCACAGGTTGATCCCGATGGTTTGATTCAGTTCGAAGATGGACGCATGGCCATCGAGCCATCGTCTAAACTAGATAGATATGTTATAATGACGGACCCAAACAACGGTGAAAAACTAGTTTTCGACAGACGGACAGGTAGTCATATCAAGGATGCTGTGTACAGTGAAGATGGGTTGATCCGCTTTCCAGACGGTAGGCGCGTTGCACCAGGTTCCAATGATAACAGTTCACAGTATCTAATTCACTTCGACTCTACAACGAAGGAGAACTTGGTTTTTGACAGACATACTGGTGAACAGGTCGAGGGCGCCTCAGTAGATTCACGAGGTTTAATACTTCTCCCCGACGGTAAGTTGCATCTAGATCAAAACCAACTAAAGCATAGGTACATTGTCCTACAGGAGACAACCGATAATACCACATTCGTAGTCGACACCAAATCAGGCCAGAAAATTGATGGAGCAGTTGTTTTGGACAATGGCCTCGTCAAGCTACCCGATGGAAATCTGGTTGCACCCAGCTCAAACACAAGCGCAAATTACATGGTGGTCGAATTGACTGAGGGCGAAGGGAATCCAGTAGTATTCGATCGCAGGACAGGTGAGCAAGTCTCAGATGCTTACCTAGACAAGGATGGTGTCATACACTTGCCAGATGGACGTTTGGCTATCTCGGCGTCAGAAACTATGGATCGCTACCTTGTGGCACAAGATAAACTGACAGGAGACCCTGTGATGTTTGATCGTCGCCTCGGAACAGAACTAGTAAATGCCACGCTCCACCATAATGGAATGATCAAATTAGCTACTGGACAGCTCGTAGCTCCCTCCTCTCCGGAAGGCTCTAAATACATGGTAGTCACAGATGAAGACGACCAAACCCTTCTAGTTTACGATCGTTTTACAGGAGAACAGATCAAGGGTGCACAGGTTGATCCCGATGGTTTGATTCAGTTCGAAGATGGACGCATGGCCATCGAGCCATCGTCTAAACTAGATAGATATGTTATAATGACGGACCCAAACAACGGTGAAAAACTAGTTTTCGACAGACGGACAGGTAGTCATATCAAGGATGCTGTGTACAGTGAAGATGGGTTGATCCGCTTTCCAGACGGTAGGCGCGTTGCACCAGGTTCCAATGATAACAGTTCACAGTATCTAATTCACTTCGACTCTACAACGAAGGAGAACTTGGTTTTTGACAGACATACTGGTGAGCAAGTTGTGGGTGCCTATGTAGATGAATTGAATATGATACATCTCCCTGACGGAGATTTATTTCTTCAACCTGATGTTTTATATCCTCGCTACATGTCACTTTCTCGCAGTGGTGATAATAATGCTGTGGTTTTGGATTCTTCCACAGGCGAAATTTTGAACGTTTCATTTTTAGGTGGTTCTCTTTTCCGTGTAAATGGTGGTGGAGTAATCGCAGTCGGCAACTTATCAAGTGGTCGTTTCGTTGTTTATGATGGTGTTGATGTTGACGTTCCACGTATTTACGACACGTTGCTGGGTCACGCTGTACCAGGAGCTGTTCTACGGCCTGATGGTTGGATTGAGTTTACGGATGGCCTAGTCTTCCCTGTGCTTTCTTCTGTTCCTGTCGGTCAGCGCTATTTTGTTTTTCGCAATGCATCCTCAGGGCAGGAAGTTGTTTATGACGCTATATTAGGTGCAGCTGTTTCGGATTCATTTGTTGACGAAAACGGTCTCATTCATTTAACAAACGGATCAATTTTTAGTCCAATCACTTATAATCACACTTCTTTTTTGTTTGACGATCTTTCGGAACCTGCTTATGCATCAACACTTCGTGAACGTAAAAATGCTTCTCTATATCGAATTGTCTCATTGAATTCGACTACTAAAATGGTTAGTTATTTAAAACCACTGATTTACAAAGTCTGTAAACTATACTGTACGCACTTGGTTATATAGCTTACACTAATCATTTTCAAAACGCTTATCATAGAAATGCTAATATATCTACGCTAATGACCACGTTTCTTAATTGCATATTTCATCAGTTTTGTTTATTGTTTTTCATTGTGATTGAATTATTTTTTAATCTAGTACCAACTACCATCTCCATGTCATAAAAATCTGCTTCCTAAATTATCCACTCACTATGTTCATCATTTCAAAACAGTAAAGTTTTCACTGAATGATCATAAATCTTACGCTTTCAACTCACCTCAGTAACTAAACTTTCAGTCATTGTAAAATAAACTATTTTTATTAGTTCAATGCAATCGTCTGCGTACATCACTTCTGTAAATATGAATATATCTTAGACATTTTTGTGTAATAGTATACATTTAACTATATGCAAATTTTTCGATTATCTGATATGCAAACACATTTGCACGATGCTTGCTAATAAACTGAATCCTTTCATTTTTATCTTTGCTACATATGCACATTTGAAATTTATATTCACAATTAAAAATGTTTCTTTTTTTCCTGAGGTTATGCTGCACTCATAATTAAATAAAATGAAAATATCTATCAAATTATTTTAGGGTATTTAACGCACAATAAACTCTTTTCTTCCTTATTCTTACAGCAACCTGAAGAAATGGATTTAATTTCTCCTGGTAAGTTCTGCATTTATGTCTTGACTTTCAAAAAATTTCTCAGATATTAGTTGATTAAGCTGGTAACCAGTTAGGTCCCATTTAGGATTACTGCTGAAACACCAAGATCACAATACCATGTATTATATTGATAAGTCACTCTCAACTCAGCTATTCGAACTAAAGGATGATGTTGGTTACCACTGGTTCACTATACTATGCCCAAGTCAATTGTTGATTTTCAATTTAAAAAGTATTTAGAATAGTTTTATTCGCAAACTAATATGAGCTAAACTACAGACCGATTCTAATTAAAACCCTCAGACAAAATGTAGTCGTTATTAGAAGGTTATTAATGTAGAACTTTCAACTAGTTGACAAGAAGTCAAGAAAATGTATTTCCAAGTGAATTTTTAGTCAGACACACAATCTATTTTAGTAGAGTTGATCAGTTGATAATAGTATACGATTTCAAGCTCTTACAAGTACTTTGTTTCAGCATGTTAATTACTATTAACTGATTTATTCTAAGTGACTTTAAAATATCATTCAATGTAATTACCAAGAATTAAATACAGTAACAGTTACATACCTAAACAATAATGTCGTGCTAAATGAATAATAAACATTAAAAGTTTAAATAAAATTATTAAAATAACAGTTTTCTCCAGAATAGTTTAGTTTCTAAACGTTTATACACAAATTTATGGAAACTTATATGGTACATTAAACTATTACTTGAAGATTACCTCAAAAGTCAGCCTTTACAATTAGTGTAAGACAGAATGTGATTACAAGATAATATGGAAACAAAATTCCTCTACCTTTGAAAAACCTCAGTAATTTATCCAAAATAAAATAGAATTTAAGGATACCTTAAAGACTGAAATATTCAAGCTAAGAAAATTTTTTCAGAGCTATAAAATCTCCATGGGAAATAATTAACATTAAAAATGTGACCGTCTAATGTAATAAATCTTACCGAAAAAAAGGAAATATTAAAATAATTAATTCAATGACATAAAATACTTGAGACCAGTAATCCTTAAAGATACGTAGGAAATAAAACATAAGTTATACACAGAGATACTAAGAAGAAACTACTTTGCACTGAAAAGGTTATTGGAAATGAGTGAACAAATAGAAACTGTGAAACTTGAAAGCTATTTCTCGGAAAACCTATGTATTTCATCTTATATTACACTAATCCTAAGCTTTTATTAATCTTATTAGTTGTTAATTTATCTTATCGTCCATAAATTACAGTTAGTTTATTATATACCCGCTACTTAGTTTTGAATCACAAATGATCTAATTATGTGTAGGTTGAAATTTATTATTTTTGTTGCATTTTGATCTTGTATCAGATTTAAACAACTATGTGCGTTTATGTTTACTAATACAAAGTAAACAGCGTTAGTTTTTCTAGTATTCTAAGTGAGTATTGGTGATACAAGAATTTATTTAGACCAATCAGAGTTAGCTATGATCATTTGAATTATTCGTTTTCAAAACAAAATCAATCAGTTTACAAAATTAACACCCATAACTTAGTTCACAATTAAGAAAATGGGAAAACAGAACACTGAAAAGTCTAGTTTGATTAAAGATTATTGATGATGCAACTAAGACAGATTTACGACGCTAGAACAAATTAAGAAAGTAATGATAAACGATATGCAAGGTAGATTCAAACTTGGAAATAACAATCATAATCACTTACTCAGTACTCTGACTTAGAAGGTAACGCTTAATTTACCAGTCTAAAAACCGCTAATGCAGCGAACACATTGCTCCTATGTGATATAAGTTATAGCACTGTAAGATTTCTTTTGTCAATACCAGTGGAATTAATTTAAACGTAAAGCGTAAAGATCCTGGCAGTAAATACTTCCTTTTCCCTTCTTAAATCTATATATACAGGGTGTTTAGTTACACTCAAGAGTATGGAAATTCTGTGACTTAGACGTAAAAATTTACTACTTACTTTCACACTACCTCGTTGTATTGGTGTGAAAATTCCTTTTTGAATGTTTAATGATTAGATTTTGCAATACTATCACAGCAAGTAAATGCCATTAGTTACATTCGTTAACTTGTATAAAACACAACAGCGTTTATATATATATATATATATATATATATATATATATATATATATATATATATATATATATATTAAAGAAATTCTAAATGTTAATTTGTTTGGATAGTTTGCAATGGGATTGATTTCTTGTCACAATTTTGTTTGTCATTCTCCTGTAACTGACTTTTAGTAATTAATATTGGAATATTAATTACTAATATTTGGTTGTAATTTACTTGAACGAAGATCCTTGCATTATTGATTCGGGAAACTGTGATTTGACAAACAGGGTTTATGAAAAATCCAGTTTCACTCATTCAGATATAATTTCGCACTTGAGGTTAACAAGTTCATCGAACATTTTAGTAATTTGTGTAGGGAGTCCTTTTTTCAGAAATTTAAAACAATTAATCCCTTTGATAAATCTCGATAATGCTATTAGAAGACGACGGTTATCTTTGCTACGGCTTACCTTTAACCTGTATAGTTAATTTTTTAGTTTTCATATAAAAATATCTTAACAAGTGTATGTGTGATCAGATTGTTCGAAATGTATTGCGCAAATATATCACATAATTTTGATAACCTAAGTCTTTTAATGAACTAATGATTGTTTTTTGACGCTTTTCGTAGATAAAATCGAAAAAGTAAGTCAATGTTCAATATTTTCTAATTAATCAAATTAAGAGGTATTTTGTTTTTAATGTTTTGTCATAAATTCTAAGTACTTGTACAAATAATAAAGACGATATTTTAAAATATTTGTTTTCGTTTTAGATAACGAACGCCAGCTCATGTGAATGTATCGAAGATTTATTCCGACGAGTAAGACCCTTTTTAACAATATAGATTTGTTTTGATTAAACTAATTTTTAACTTCTTGATACTAATCGAAGCCTTGTCATCAGTACTATTGTACAAAAATTAAACAATTGATATTCACTCTCATAGTAAAATGTTTATAATTTAAATTTTAATGATAAAGAATATTTCAAATCATCTTTTTTAAAATTTATAGACAGTTTCAACTAACCTAAATACAGTTCCGAATGCATTCCTCACCATTTTTAATATAGTGTTGGGAAGAATCCGATACAAGAAAAACATTCATAATGACTTTTCAAGTTTGACTTGATAGTTTAAAATAAATGGAGCATTAAGTGTGTTGTCTATGCTAATAAAGCGATATATCTGCAAAACCCCAATGAGTAGAAAATTGAATTTCTGACGTTTCGCAACTTATGGTGTCGTTTTTTCAGTGAACAAATAAACCACTGACTTAACACGATTTCAAATAGTAAAGAGCAATAACGCAGATTACTTAGTACAACAAAAGTAAATTTGATCAAGTTAATGTCATGTCACTTCAGTCAATGCGATTCTGTGTGACATTATTATGTGCATTTGTAAAACAGAAGGATATATTGTTAAAATCTATTCGAATGAAATGTCATGGATTGGCATAGTAGTTTTACCATAGCCGTAGTCTTAAACCCGTAACATGAGTCAATTATAAAATAACATGTTATCCTAAGAAATATATTCAAGGATGACTAGTGATCTGTAGGGGTGCAAGTTGTATCATACATCAAGCCCAATCTTCGGTTACGTAATTGTAAGTGTGCATTTAATTATAGTCCTGACTAATAGCATGACATAACTCAGTATATATTTGTTATAAAATGATATTTACGCGACCACAGGAAATGGTCGTCCAACTGGTTAACCAAGAACAAGACTGATGGGGACACATATATGTTTAACATACATTGAAAGGAGCTTGTACAGAACGCACGAATGTTCATTGAATACAAACTAAATACATGTAAATCCACCAGTTATTTGAACACAATGTTGATTTTATGATATTAGATTGACCATTGGTCTGCCCTACATTTATTTTACTCATACGGCTGAGTACCAATAAATTGTTAACCTTCTGTATTTGATGATGCACTAACATGTAACGAACGTTGTCATAACTAAATCTTAGTAAATACTTTTACTGTTAATGATCAAGGTCTACTTGTTGTTGATATTACCTCAAGTACATGTATTTGATCTACTTATCAAACAAATTGAGGAAAAAGAATGTATTCTTTAGAACTGAGTCATGCAGATGAACGAGATAGATAAACAAAAATACATTATAATCCGAGACAAATCCATACAGATTCAAATTGTTCCATTTGAAAAAGGAGAAAGTGTAGGAAAACTAATGACACCAACACTAATAAAGTTTTAACAAGAGAAATATATGAAACAGAAACAAGCAAGAATGTTGAATAAAACAAATAGATTAATAGTTTGTTACAGATTTACTACAAAACAATATATGTGTGTAACAGTACTGGGCATCAATTTAAGTCTTTTATTACGGGATTCTCTTTCTCTCGCTACGAATTTAAACATCGTATTCAAATAAAATCGGAATAATTTTACACACACGTAGAACTATTTTCCAAAGAGATAAAAGTATCCAAAAATGAATAACTAGTTTGAACTATATCTTATTTTGCATGAGAAATTTGACTACACCACCTCTTCAGTGATTTGTTTTTAGAATGATATGAACTTTAATTTTAAAGAAAAACCACATACCTTCATTTAATAAATAAAAAAATTTAAGAAAATATTGATAGCATAAAATCTGATCGTCAGTTTCTATCCGAATTGTGACGAAATACCATTGGTTATCAGAAATGACAAATTTTAATGATATATGTAGCAATTAGGAAATTGACTGTTAAAAGTATCAATTCACTATTGTACTAGAAACATTTTAACTGACACAAAATGCTTAGACTGATAGTTTTTTCTGAATTCGACTAGTAAGTCAAATAGAAAGTTATGTATAATAATTAACTTCTGTAATATGTCACCTTATAGTAGTATTTTCTAGTTATTATGAAATGATTTAAGTTAGCTTACATAAAAATTCAATCGTTTTTTTAAAAAAAATTCTACATACTTTTCTTTCCAGGGTCTTTTGAGATTGAAAGGAGAAAAGGTAAGTGATTATGCTTTGGATACGAAAAACTGTCACTCTAAAATAAATCTAGTTGAAGACATAGAGATCCACATACGTTTGACAGAAGGATGTTGTGATGATACCAGTCGTTTGTCATCTGCTTAATAATCATACTGATGATTATAAAAACAATCCCAGTTAAAACAGGCTAACAAACTCAAGAATCGATTTACAACATGGGGGTGGAAGCATAACCTTGAAACAGAACTCTAGCCACATAGTTTATCGACCATCAAATCCACCACAAAAGAACTGACCAATTGGAAAGAAATGCATAAATGGAAAGTTGACCTTACCATTAAGTGGTCCACCAATCAAATCAACTGGAAAACCTATCGAACGCACTTATTTGCAAGACTTCATGATTTTCACCCAACCGTTTAAATTGAGTCTAAATTAACAAAACAACTGATCAGGTCATAGGGAAAACAGTAGATGCACCGGTCCATATTATTGAACGTAACTAGTTAGGGTTTTCATTGCTCATACTTTTAGAGGCTACTGGGTTTCCTCGCCCAAACAAAAAACCATTACACTATTTCCAGTTTGATGATATCTCTCTAAATTTGGTGAATATCGGGCAACATAAATTAATGTGAAATCAAGCCAAATTATTGAGCTTTAGAGAAATCATTAGTTATGGGGTAATAGTATTAGTTTGTAATTATAAAAAATTTCATAAATCCCTAGATTTAATTCACGTTTCCCATCGGTATAATAATCTTATGACTACTGTTGATCTAATTGCATTGGGTCTGATGTACTTTTATGAGATACAGTGTCAAGCGAAAGCTTACAGCTTGATGTCTGAACTCGTATATTCGAAGTAAGATCATAGGAATTATGACCTCTTTTATATGACTGAAAGGATTGAAGTAATGTAGTAGTGTGTTGCTGAGCTCTTGATACAGGAATCTCAGGCTATATTTACAAATCAACAATCCTTGCGTTATTCAAATAGGACCTAGTCTACACTAGTCCATTGTCTCTCATTATACTAAACACGAGTGAATAATGACAGTTGGGATCGAATAATGTCAGAGGGTCAGTGATTTCTGAATAAATTTGTTTAATAAGGAAACTTAACAAATGCTGCTATCAAGTGAGAGATTTCGATATTGAGCATTTGGTATTCCTTACTACACGTAATTTCGGTAATGAGTTTCTATATTGGAAATCTACAAAACTCCTGAGAAGTATGTCTTTTAGTTCTTCAGACTTTCTTTTCTAATGCGATATTTTATCTGCAGTTAATTTTACTGTAGAGAAAGCCTTGACATAAAATTTACAATGTTAAACATGTGAGTGAACTTGGACTACTCGAATAAATGTTGGCCGATCACCTTCTCTGTCAAAATAAATATCAACAATTAAAAGTATTAAATGACAGCTCGGAATTCATCCCACGCACTTATCCATCCAAAGCCCTCCCCACAGAAAACTGTTTAACTACATCATAATACGTGGTAGACTGTCGTTGTTAGTAAACATTGCTAAAACGTCCGACCTTCAATCATTTAGATAATCTCAACTAACTGTAAAAGGCATTTTGCAATCAATACGGATGACGACATCATTTTTGGTACGAGTATATTTGGTAAGTTCCATAAGATGTTTACCTGTTCTGGAGGGAATTAAACAGATGTTGTGCTCACCATTATTATTTAAACGTTGTATAAATTTAGATTTTTCTTTTCACTAAAATGAACCTTGAAGTGGTTTCATAATATTTAGATAATAAAATCCACAGTACACTTGTCAACTATATTTCAGACTTTTCAACTGAGTGATGAATGTTTATGTTTCTATTGAGGTATCGCCATATTTCATCTCAAATTACATTTAAGTACAATGTTATTTTATTTGTAGAATGTATATAAGTTCGATAGTAAGTTTACTTCTCAATCGATTAAATTATCCAATTATTTTATTGCTCAGAATTTATTACTGTTAATTATATTTTTAGGGAGATCGTGGTGATGCAGGACCTATGGTATGTAAATTAACTTTTAAAAATATTTGTTTGAGAAATAATAGTTTTTTGTGGTCACAACTTTGCTGAATAAAGTAAAAACTTACTATGTTTAAACTTCCATTAATAAACAGCCTTATTTAATCAATCAATATGAATTAATATGACTGACAGTATTTTTCTTACTAATTACGGGAACAGCTAGATTCTGCTGAAATAAATTAAACTACTGGATTAGTATGTAAAAAAAGTTGACTGGCAGGATTCTGTTATCGCCATATTTACTTTTTTCTAAAATAAAGGAAATATTTAAGACAAAACATCGAATATGATTAAAAGTCTTTTAAAACATTCCTTACAAATTCACCTGATAGGGTTTTGTGAAGATGGGTTTAATTTGAAAGTTATATACATCACAGTTTGATATCAGTCAGAACTTCGTTAAAAACCAAGGAACATCGGATTGGTGTTTCGTTCTAGTGTAAGACTCTTCATCAGTGCTCAACTACAACCCTATTCAGAGATTGGTTTCGAGATCAGATGATATCAATCTGTAGAGAATACAACCTACAACTTTTCCAAAACTATAATATAAATGCATTTCTGCGTCTCTCGATTAATAATTAAGTAATGACTTAACTATCAGCTTTTATTCTTAGCACCTATATCAAATTATCAGTCCTCACATTTTCAGCTTACTTTCGATAATAAATTCTTCAATCCCTTGGAATTTATTAGTTGTTTTTCATGAATAGAACACTAAAACTTTGAGAATTATTTACATTAAATTTATTGTATGCAAATGAATATTTATTAACTGGTACCATATGTGTACATCCACATGACAAGTGTTACAATGAAAACAATCAAAAATACGACTATAAACGGTTATAGTATTAATCTAGTTAAACAAAGTTTTCAACTTAATGTACGATTTTAGGATATTGGCATTTTTACATTGAATCATATGAATTAAAAAATAATAATAAACTAAATTATTCTACTTACATTACCAGAAAACAATCCAATACATAACTTTTCAAACATAGAATAGGTAAAAGTTTTTAAGTAATAACTGACCGTGAAAGATATTCAATAAAACAAAAAGCAACATATGATGTATATTTCATGATTATTGATATCCATAACAGAAAAATCACTGTAACTATTCTAGAAATCGATACTTGATGATATATACTACTTCAGATTGTAGTTCAAGGATTTATCACTGTAATGTTTATACTGTGGCGTGGCGTCGAGTCGTGGTCGGCTATGAACATCACTATAAGAAGAGCACGTACCAGACAAATCAGAAGGCGAAGAGGGATCGCAACCAGATTTATTTGTTGGCGATCTCGTGGTATCCAAAGTATACCGAGGTTGTGCCAAAAGAAATACAATCAGAATTAGTGGGCGAAAGAACGAGTGTACCAGGTCACAGTCCACGGAAGAGTAGTGGAGGAGAGTAATGGCTGTCTTTAGTACAGTTAAACAAACGAGTACTGGTACAATTGTTCATAATAATAATTGTTTTCATTAAACCAATCGCGTTCTGTTGATAAAAGTAGGTCACTACAGGAGCCACCCGCTAGAAAGGGTTTACACTTTCGATTGGTAGCGGTTTGGTTCGTGGGACCTATCGGCAAACGTGCGATTGTAGGACGGAAGGATTGGAGAAACAGGAAGCGATCGTTGATCCTCGAGTTGCCGACGGAGGTCTTTTACGTAGAACGGTATCAGGAGAAGCGTGCTGTATTTGTTGCTCGAGTTAGCATACCACACCAGGGTGGTTTGTATTCAGGATCTGAAGATTGCGTTCGTAGGGATGCGGACCAGGAAACACTGCAGACGTAGGACGAAACCACGTTGAGTCAAGAAACTAAGTGCGAAACCAAACATATGCCAGGCGGATTCGAAACCAGAATATCGACTAAGTGCGTTGACAAGAGCGTGGGTAGCCAGACCAGCTTTCGCCAAAGTTGACTGAAGTCGACGGTTCCAAACGGTGATGGTCGGAGGCATGGGCTCAGGATACAAAAAAAATCAAAAAAAGATAAAGAAAGTGTAGCATGCATGTAGTAAAGGAATAGTCCTACACCGTATCCGTTGTTGACTGTGCGGTTAGTCGCGAAAGCGTACTCGGCGACCGAAACGTGAGACGGTAGTCTCGTTCGTACCTCGTGAACCTGCAATCTCCTCCAAAGTCAAGGATGTGATCTGCTGATGTGGACGTGAGACGGAAGTCTCGTCCGTAGATGGTGCAGATGACACGTGCTGTTGACCGGGACATGATAATGAGGTCTCTGATGTATCTAGCGTGGGATCTGAAGTAGATGTAAAGATCCCGCTAGTAGGTTTGATAGGTCTAGCATTGGGTCTCAAGTTATCAAGTAGGGTACTGTCATCGACGTGTGCTGGTTTGAGACGATCAATGCTGACGATCTCGACGCGGCCATGTTGATCAACCTTGAAGGTCTTTTCGTGACGAGAGATCACGTAAAGAGCCTTCGTAAGGCTGTTGCAGAGGTTTGCGTACCGAATCTACTCGTATGAAAACATGTGAACAGGTAGGTGACTCTCGAGGGAGAGCGACCTGTCGATGTTGTATTCGAGTTGACACCGGAGACAACGTTCGCATAAATGCAGACAGTCGATTGACGTAGTCTGATTTACCGAAATCGTTACTGCTCCGTGGTGTGAAGAATTCCCCAGGCAGACGCAATGTCGTGCCGTATACAAGTTCAGCTGCGGAACATTGGATATCTACCTTCAAACTCGTTCTGATGCCTAAGAGAACGAGCGGTAAGGTTTCGTACTAATCGTCGTTTTCGTGTGCTCGAAGAGCACTTTTAGGTTGGTGATGAAACCGTTCGACTAAACCATTCGATGCTGGATGGTAGGCGGTGGTCCGTACCAAGCAGCCGGGTCAGTGAGGAGAATAATGCGGACTCGAATTGTTGTCCTCGGTCAGCCGTGACAGTCGAGGGACAACCGTACAGCGCTATCCATCGTTCTACGAAGCGGTGAGCAACTGTCTCCGCCGTAATAGACGTGATGGGAATAGCTTCGGGCCATCTTGTAAGACGGTCAATGCACGTGAGTATGTGATCATACCCATGCGATGGTGGCAATGGTCCTACAATGTCTATATGAACATGATCAAAGCGAGCATCAGGCGTAGCGAACGTGCCAATGGGGCCAGCTATGTGCCTATGAACTTTTGATTGTTGACACTGTAAGCACTGCTTTACCCACATACGGACATCTTTATTCATGGACAGCCAGACGTATCGTGCAGCGATGAGACGTAATGTAGCTGCGATACCTGGATGAGACAATCCATGTAGGGCATCGAAGACGAGACGGCGATAGGCAGAGGTACGATGGGTCGAGGAAGACCGGTAGAAGTATCACATGAGATAGTACCTGAGCTAGTAGCTAGGGGTACTTCCTGGCACTGAAGGGACGAAGATTGTGGTGCTTCTGTACAGAAAAGATCGTTTGCTTGCGCGGCGGCCATAACAGTACGATCGAACACCTGTAAAGTAACTATCTTAGAAAAGATAGTCGTGCCCTTGAGCGATGCCGTGATGTCGTGTATGTGGGGGATGGGGTAGCTATCAAATCGTGTAACTACGTTTAAATCTCGGTAGACGCCGCATGGTCTCCAACTAACCCCATCCTTTTTGCGCACCATGTGAAGAGGAGAGGCCCAGGGACTGTGAGAAGGACGAATAATACCAGTAGCTAGTAAATTGTCAAACTCACGTTTAGCGAAGGCTAACTTGTCCAATGCCAGTCGGCGCGGTGCCATTTGTTAAACAATGGCAGCTGATGAACTCGTGAAAATAGTATGAAATTTTAAATACAAACGTCATTGTGTACAGTCCAGTTCAGTTAATCCACACGGTCTTGAAAATGTGCTCACCTTGACTAGACATTAAAGAGAAGACAACACAGTGTGGGAAGTGTTTTTGATTAATATTGAACTAAGAAATCCAAATGCACATGCATCCATAAACAAATAGACCGACATCAATATTGATATCTCAGTGGTAACCTTTGTTTATATAAATCATCCACTGACGCATCACTATTTATTTTACGTTTAAATATGACTGACAATTCAACTTCATAACTCTACTGTTATGGTCAGAACACCAAATACAAGTGATAAGTCCGTTGATGCTAATGCCTATCGCAAAGCATCTGACTTTTTAAAATAACGAGAATAATATCTACAATTATTCTAAGTTGATTAAGGAGAAGTAATATTCTAGTAAACAGAACACCACTGGGAACAATCGAATGTGTTTGATGGGAAATTACAGAACATGTTAATAAAATCTAGCAATCATAAAGTAAATGCTTAATTTGCAAAATGTCCATCAATTGTCTCAAAATGACTCAGACTTCATTGTTCTTGCAGTTTCATACAAATTGCATCTGTTTCCATTCTTTACTCTTCGATCCTCTTATCTCTCTGCTGCCAAACATTTTGTTCACGACTAACGTCATATGCTACTTATGTCAATATAAGTAGTACACACCACAACATGACTATGACAAAATAGACAAATTAGTGATGAGAGCTGCAAACCTAACTGCATCACTGAAAAAGTTCACAGATTAAACTTGAAGCAATAAATAATTTATAGAACTTTCAGTAATCTTATATGTAATTAACATAATTTCAGTATTGAAATTTGTTTGATATAAATATATTGTAAAATATTAAAATACAATCTATTGTATCCGAAGATTATGACTAAGTTACACTTTTTGACTTGTTTTTGATAGCATTGTATGAAAACGTAGCTTCAATACTATTAAGTCTAAAACAAACAATCTGGCTTTTAAGTACGACACTAAATCAAAAGGATTTACCAATAGGAAATAATCAAAATGGATGTCGGTTAATCAGTTTGTAGGTTGAGCATTCTTGAGGGTTCGACTCCCGGGGAAAGAGGTTTGGATGCGCACTTCTGGTGAGTTTCATACTATTGCAAAACGGTCATCCAAGGCCTCCAGGTTTTCTATGGTTTTCTAGTTTAGATTGGTTCACGATTTCGATGAAAATGTTCAAAAGTGAGAACAATTTATTTTCAAGGTTTTTTATCAATTTGCCATATAGTTATTTTTAACTGCTTATTGATGAAGGTTACAGTTGTAACAGATAGTTGGTTTTTACAATGACTTATCACAGTAACTGGCATTCATATCAAAATAAAATTAATAGGGCTCATGATCTATTTCGGTAAAATCTTATTACATCTCTAATGTAATGTATTTGGAATAAGTCATTATACTTAGAACGTGTTTAAGATTTGAAGAACCATGCTGCGAAACAGGGCTGTAACTTGTAAAAATTGAAAATGCAAAAAGAAACAACTTTAAGAAAACCTAATTTTAAAGTTAAAAAAACCACTTAGTAGAATATATATATAATTCAGACAAACAATACTCGTGACTTTATTATGATGACATCCATCCTATTTCATTCTAGTAGTGATTTCATAAAATACATCAAGTAATTTGACTGATTGTCATAACCAAAGGTAATTTGTTAATTTATTATTTCTATAATCCTTCTTTTGTAAAAATACTGATAAACAAAGTAACACATCTGCTGATCAAATAAGAAATTGTTAGTTGATTTTCCTAATGAAACATGAGGTTGTATGGTTAATAATGATGACTTCTGTTTACACATATAGGTAGTCAATAGACTGGACATAATAGTAATATTATGTAAGAAAAATGATTATTGGTTCTTGTTAGTTTATTAGGTTTTTCTATTGCGTTCTTTAAAACATTCATTAGATCCTGATGTTAGGTAATCGGTGATAGTCGGGAGGAAATTTTGTGCGTAGATTCCGTGTTAGTTGACACTTGTCACCAAGGTATATGTGGAATATTGAAGGAACTGTTGCTAGATATAGGTTTAATACGTAAATCAACTAGTGCACTAACCTGAGATGTTGCCACCAAACGTTTTGGTTGAGAAATTAATCACTGCGCAGTAACTAATTTGCCGATTGGCCACTAGTGAACAAAATTTATTCATCACTAGGGTCTAGATGAACACAACATTGTCTACCACTTGATGACTCGTAAGCTTAATTACCTATGTCAATTTTCAATTCTATTTTCTAAGACGCTGTTATTAATGATTCATTTATTTATTAATAAATAAGATTAAGATTTATAAAAAAAATTCAGTGATTAATCTTGTGTTCCACAGTTACAGAAGATCCACCATTACCTCTGTTCACAATGTCTTTCTAAAGCTTGACCGAACAATATTCAGTAGTAATTATCTGTATTACATATGACTGGAAAAAATGTTTGCTATTAGGATAGGGCTTTGTTTAGTGTCCAAATTTTGAATTAAGTTTTTATCAAGAACTTGTGTTAGCTAGATGGCCGATAAAAACCAGAAAGCATCAGTCAGTCGATTCATCTTTGCCAGTATCCATCCACTTATTCTCAATGAATCAAATTCACACTAGTCAATCATTTTGTAAAGTACTTTTACATCACTAAATCTAAAACGAACGTCCAATATATTTCCAAATTCAGTTTATTGTATCGTAGTTATTCGATGTTATCAAATATGTCTGTTTCACTCATCATATTATGTTTCCTGGTTAGCGTTTTCTAGCGAGTTAGTTTTCTATGGGATGGTGTCGCTAACCGCATCTCCGACCCTCCTCCTTTATCCGGGCTTTGGACCTGCAGTAGCCCCAGAGGGGTTCCAAGCGAAGCTAAACATTACATGTCAAAGAGTTCAACCAGAAATTTCGACATACAAATCCAAGATTTTTTTCACTAAGTATACATTATCTATAATAATATAGTTTATGAAGAAAAGTTAATTAAAAAGTTTTATCTTAAACTAATATCTGCTTTGAAAAGTTTTAAATTAAAACTAAACACCCTAAATTGTAGAACGACATAGTGCTAAGAAAATATCATATTTGGATTAGCAACTAATTAAGTTTCGTTCAATTAGTTTCAATAGTAATTTACTCTTATTTTATTGTTTTCACATGCATGAAGTGTAAAGTTATCTGACGATTTGTGTTACGTAGCTTCGGAGTTGGTGGAACAGTGTAATACTTAATGATTCGTTGTTTATTATTTAAACTACAAAAGCTGAAGGTCACAAATATTTTGTCATTTGGTCTTGTTTACTGAAATAATTTCACACAAATTTTCTTCAAATAATTGTGTGATCAACAAATAGTATTCTGAAGGACATTTCCAATATAAACTCATATCTGTAGGTATCATTACCAAGGTTTGATTTGATAATTTCAAATAAATTGACCATTGGGCTGATTGTTATCAATAAAAATAATATATTTGTAATGTCCCAATAAGTAGGAAAATTATATTTCCTGACGTTCCATAACTCAATGTAAGCCACTTTTTCAGAGAATAAATAACCAATTTAATTTGGTTTGTCTTACACTGAATCATTAAATGTCAGGAAATATCATTTTCCTACTCATTAGGATGTTATAAATAATAATATTTTTATTTATAAACTTATATCGACTGAAAAAACACTAAAAAATGGGAGCACTACAAAACTGCTTCATCCTTGCCAAGGTTTACCTACATACTCTCACACTAAATTAAAACTTGTAACTTCAAATCTCGCAGTAAACAAAATACCTTAAAACATATACGTAAGAATTTAGTGGCTTTCTAGTTGATTTATAATGAAAATGGTTTTCCAAATTAAACTAGATTCTTATTATGAAACCTAGCAAATATAGTGTGTTGTTTCTCTACAACTTTAATAAACAAAATAATTGACATATCAACTGTTTTCTCTTTTTGAACAATCAAGAGGTTGATATTTAGTCGGCAGTTTTGTAAATTAGATACGTTTAAAACTTGCAATAATTGTACATAGTCGCAAGTAAATAATAATCTACAGGTTTTCCTTATCTGATTTTTACCGATTAAAACAATACCATTCAGAGAATATATTTTCCAGTTGTTCCTTTTTAAATATATAGACAAGTTTGCTTCTGATTTTATCCATTTTTCTCGTTTTTTTATCATAAAAAGGGACCTGAAGGACCCCCTGGAACCTGTCCTGCAACTTGTGGATCGAATCTATCGACTGTCATACAAGTAAACAAAGAATATATTTATATATGTGTTATTTCTAGTTCATGAGTTATTATCAATTCATCTTTTTAAAAATAGTCTTGATTGACAGTATAAATTTATATGTAGATGGCCAGTGAAGTTGAAATAAAATTCAAGTAACAGTTATACTTAAATCAAAAGCTTCTGGATTGCTTGTCCAGTACATTACTATCCTGAGTTAGATGAATAACAGTTAACCAGATTTAAATCTCTTCTTCATATAACAGACTGGTTATTCAGAATGTGTTAGTTTAAACCCCACAATCATTCAACTAGAACTATCATCCTTGTATAAGAAGAAAATTATTTTTTGAAAAAACCGTTCCAAACAGTTTAATGATTGAAAAGAAATTTTATACTTTTTTCCCTGTAAATAGCCTGTATTAAAGACAAGTAGTCTATATGTAAATGGAGTATTTTCCTTAAAGATTGGCCCATTGTATTTTTGATTTATTTCATCTTTTACATTTTAAAATCACCAAATGATAAGATAAAACATATTTAAATTAATGTTGATTTTATAAAGACTAGCAGCTGTATATACGATTTTGTTTTGAAACAAGATCATTCGTTCATTTTTTTTAAATTACAAAAAGATTATCGTTTTTCTCTTCACAAATATTTACTTGTTCCACCAGATACATATTAATGATAATAATAATAATAATAAACATTAGATCCAAATGTTTCATCTGTTCAGTGATTAGGTTTTACGATAAATCTAAAGTATGGTCCCGAACAACCTTGAGGTATCAATATTTACAGCCACTCAGAAAGCGGCAAAAATAAACCGATGAATTTTTATATGAAGAATTGTGATTAAAATGTTTTTAGGATCTTTGCATTATAGCTTATGTCAGTTCGTGATTGAAACTGTAACCCCTGTCTCTGATTCTAACTCGTAACTTGAATTCCTACCCTAATTCTATATAAGTGCCATAACTTTTCTCTGTTCGACAGTATGATTTAGCTCCATCTTTATATATCCCACTTCCTCAATTTTAGCACAGTGATTGTTATACAATTCAAACTACTACCGTACATATGATATTATTTTGTTAGTGAACTGTGTAAATTATTTAGTGATGGCGATCGAAGAGTTGGTAAATTTTTACACACTGAAAACTCACGCCTGAGATTCAACGGAATTTTTAAAAATATTCTTAGTGTTCATTTATTTTTTTATTACAAACACTTGAAATCACTGCTAAATTTATTTGTCCATTCATAAACTCTATTTTGTTTCAATTAACCACTTTTTCCAAAAAAATAAAAACTTAACTACTGTACTCAGTAAATTTCCATACCTTTTCATAAATTCATAGGGACCTAAAGGTGATCCCGGTCCTCCTGGAGTTTGTACCATTGATCAATGCAAAGAAGCTGCAATACCCGGACCTCAAGGACCTCCAGGAGAAAAAGTAAATGAAATAAATAAATATATATATATATATATTTATATAGTGTAATTTAGATTTCCAATAGAAAATTCTAGTGCTTAGAGAATCATATAAAACGCAAAAACCTGATAATATATTTGTAATATCCCAATGAGTAGAAAAATTAGATTTTCTGACGTTTCGTGGCTTAGTGTAAGTCACTTCTTCAGAGAATAAATAACCAAATTAAAACTAATCCAAGTTTAAATAGTACAAATGAACTTGGATTAGTTTTAATTTGGTTATTTATCCTCTGAAGAAGTGACTTACATTAAGCCACGAAACGTCAGAAAATCTAATTTTTCTACTCATTGGGATATTACAAATATATTATTTATTTATTTATAACAATCTACCCAATGCTAGATTTATTGGAAATTATCAAATCAAATCTTGGTAATGATACCTACAAAAATCTGAGTTAACATTTCTTCAAAATTTTCATCTACTTCACAATTTGAATATTCATCTAATGAACATGTGAATTTTTATAACTTACAAAGTGATATCAGTTATCTGTATTAATGACTGTTATGAACTAAATGTTGTTTTTATGTTAATGGTATTTATATTTTAGTGTTGAATGAGTTGGCATTTTTAAAATAAAATATAAATCACTTTCTGTAGAAACTTTTATACTAAATAACACATGAAAGTCATTTCAAGAAAACAGAAAAATAGATACTCATCACGATAACTCGAATTAAATTCCATTAGATTGATTTTCTTTTTTAATAAACCTGATAATTTCCTTATATTAAATTCTTTTTCAACACTTGATGGTTTAATCTCTGTTGAATTTGGATTACATGTGTAAAATACCTGACATTTTGATTAAATCACATTTGATGGTTGGTAGTGATTAAATTTCGAATGAGCACTTTAATTAGTTTAGACTTTGTCAATCTATTGTATTTATGTTGTATAGATGGTCAAATGATCATCTGCTATGGCGAAGAATTAGTATAGTCTTTGTTTTACAAGGAAATGACTTCCCGCTGTTTACTTTTGTAAAGCTGAACGGCAAAATCTCTGTCGATATTATTGCGTTTAATGTGCAGATGTCTCAATATGTGGAAACACAAGGTAAGTATACGATTTTGATTTTTCATATATTCGCATCGTAAAGAAAATCGATTACCATTGTAACTACATCGCTGAAAAAAATAAAAATTTATGGTTCAGCGAATTAGTCACTGGTTTTATATCTTCAAGGTCATAGCATTGATCCACTCTACTTGTCGTTATCGGATTATACAATCATGCACAGTGTGTTATACTATTAAGCTAATGGAATTTAAATTCTACTGATTGCTCTAAGTGATTAACGTTATTAGTTTAATTAAAGAACACAACTTAATTTGTAGTTCCTTTGTTTTATTAACATATTTGTATACTAGCATATATCAACACTTAGTTGATATATTGTTCATATCAAGAGAATTAATTATTAATCGTTTCTCACTCACATATCAATACGTGTATACATACATATAAGCTAATTTATAAATTTTTTTATTGAAAAGGGAGAAAAAGGTGATCCAGGCGAAGTAGATCTTACAAATGATCAGTCAATTTCAGTTATTAAACAAGCCATTCACGATTTTATATTACAACCAGTAAGTAACTTTTGATATTAGAATATTTTTCTAAACTATTTCAAAATATTTAATAAGCGGTTTTGGAGACTTATTTAATATTATGATCTCTACTCAATCACTTGTATTTTAATTTGACTCATCGGAATACAGAATAATAGGAATATAACGTTACCTATGTATATATCGAAATCATAAACAGTCCTAGTGTATATCTGTAGAAGCACAAGCATTTATGTACTAGTTAAACAAAAAATTCTTAGTGTCTTCCATTTATCCAATTGAACAGTTTTATACGAGCATATATGTACGTAGATTGACTACAAATTAGTCAGTTAGTTTGTCTAATAGTTTTATATCATTGAACAAGCATTCGAAGTTTATTTTCAATGATGAATCCTTCTAACAATTAACCTAATAATGATTTAACTAATTGATATTATATATATATATATATATATATATATATATATATATATATATAAAGTTTGACACAAGTAAACAACTGTTTATCGTTTAAATCTGAACATGTTAATATATGATGTTTCTTACAATTATACTGATATCAACTGTGATAGTTGTGAAAATAAAATCAGTCTAAAATGTTTCTATCTGCCTGACAGTTTTGATTCTTGCAATTTACAAACTCTATTTTTTATGTATAAATGAGAAAGATACATGATAATTGGTCAACATATCGTCTCAGCACTTTACAATGGAATCCATAAATGTTCATTTGACTAATCCATATAACGTAGTATGGTCAAAGTATAAATTTTATCATCAAATATAATTATATGATTTGGTGAACTCACGTTAAAATGTCTATCTTAAAATGAAATATCTTGTTCCAGGACACGTATCCTACAAAAACACTGTAAATCTCATATGGGTTTTAACACTCACAAATTTGAATAAAGTAAAAACAATGATTGTAGCAGAATAATGTGAACCGATATATTTCTTGAAATACTCTTCAGCTGCTTATAACCTACAAACAATAATAACCGTTATTCAAAACCAGTGTCCATCCTTTATATCATATTGATGACACTTAGCAGAAAAGTAATAAATTTCTGACGGTTGAACTTATGTGAAAATTCTAGAATAAAATTTTCTTTAACAAGTATAGATATGTTTCTAGAAAATGAGGATCGATGTGAAAACTTATATAGAAATAAACGTAAAATGATTAACAGATTAAAGAGAGTAAATTTCAAAAACTGATTCAAGAATAAAGAAAAGGAACTTCTTGATTAAGTGCATAGATTAAGATATTACCCTATTAAATGCTGGAAACCGAAATCACTATACAAGGGCAAGATCGATAATCGTATGTTTTTGACTGGACAAGTTCGCTTCCGACCTTTAAGTAGTGATAGCTTTGAAAAAAGTACTACTGTTGAAATCTATGTGCATCCACCATCCTGTATGCGGGACCCGAACTTTGGACATTCGGTCGCCCGCGCGAACGCTTAACCTATAGACCAATGAGCCGGTATCCAGTCGTGTTAATGTCCAACTTCAGTCAATCCATAATCTTAATGTTTCTCACTTAACACGGATTGGACTCCACTGGTCACGGCTTTTCACTAAAACTCCAGGAGCTACATCTTGAAGCTAGTCATTAGTTTCCAGCCCTTCCAGGTTTTCAATAGTGATCTTATTTATTTAATCAAACATATAAACATCGGTACAATAAGACATTGAGTATATATGGGCCACACATCATCATTCGAATTATGTGAGGTTTGGGATACTGCCTAGGCATCCAAATTGTAGCAGGTAGTTTTCTTAGATAGCCACTCCCCGCGACTTCGACCTAGAGGTCTAATCCACAAGTCAGTGAACAACGTTAGGAGATGCAGTTCCATGGTAGCTGGTGACCAACGAAAGGTCCATATGCCATTTGTTCCCTCAGGATCCTGGATCCCATGTACATCATTGGTTTGGAATCAGAGTTTTCAGAGTCCCCTAGGTGGATAGATAGTTTTCAGAAATGCATTTGAAATAATTTTCATCACAACCTGTCATCAATTGGTGAACCACATTGAAAACTAGGAAGCACTAGACAACCATTTCGTTCCTCGCAATGCTCCCCACCATCAAACATTGGTTCGAACTTAGGACCCTAGGTCTTTACAGTAGACATCATATCAATAAACTGGTAATCTGAAATTCAAAGGCTCATATTACTAACTACAGTTTGTGTTGTAATCAGATCATTACCAAATAACATTCATGATTCTTTTGCATATATGTATACAACACCTGACAACCAAAGTTTCTGTAAATAATCTCACGCATTTTATAATATATGTGGTATAAGGCTGGTAGTGGAACCCATGAAACTCATTACACTCTGTCTAAAACTAATAACGTTGATGCTTATATTTAGACTCGAACATTCACTGAATTATCCTTTGAGATACTAAGTCCAGTATCCACTAATACTAATGAAAGTCCGTAATTACCCTCTGCAATGTTGATATTCAAAACTGCAATTAATTACTTTTTATTACCATGTATGCATTTTTAAGTAGATTACGCAAATAAACATATGACTTATTACTTATAATTTTCATTTTATTTTTTTATTTTATTTATCTCTTCATGTTACCTCTTTCACTATCAGATTGTTTTTTTTCTTTTTTTTCTTTTCTAAAAGGAAATTCAAAAACAATTTCGCGGTCCTAAAGGTGATCCAGGTGAATGTTCATGTTTAAGTGATGCAGCAGATAATTCTTCACCGAAAAAATATTCAAATAATGAATTAAATAATTTTAAAAATAATCATAATACTAATAGTAATAATAATGGTGAAATTTCAGGTTATGGTGTAAGTTGTAGGTTGTTTTACTGATTCCATTTATTTCAAATCTATTATTTATAATAATTCTTGAGAATACATCTATTCATTAAATATGGATAATTATCTTTGGTGTTTACACTAAAATATGCGTGTGTAACAATGATAAATGGAAATAGAATAAAATATGAATAACATATAAAGAAATTAGCTATCAATCAGTTGGTGAATGACATAATGTTCAATTGGTTAAGTAATAAATCTTGCTTGATCGCTTGAAATTTTTGTTAGTCGACTAGAATTGGTAAATTCTTATGAATAATTTAGGACAGATATTGATAAATTGATAATTAGTTATACAACATTGTACGTCAGATATGTTAATAAATCATCTACTACTTAAAATAGTAATAAGCACGTTTTCCATATGTTAAAATTTCATAATAAGGTCTATACTTCAATAGAAGATTAACTATGAAGATTGAACAGAATAAAATGTTTCACATTCTAAATCTTCGCATTTTAAAGTAACGATAACAATGAAAAATAAAAGAATCATTCATCGAAATATCATCTGGAGTGATCTTTACTTAAAATTCAGTAGTTGCCATCAGATAAATTACAAAAGAAGTTTATTTAAAACGTTATTCAAAAATTCACAGAAATTATACTGAAATGTGAGAACTGTTGGAATTAACCACAACTGAAAGTTATATCCATGGTACTGATTGTCTGCGAAACTTGTGTGATTAAAACAAGGTGAAACTCCGCCTGGAGTCCCTTTCGGGGGGCTACTGCCGGTCCCAAACCCGGATAAAGGAGGAGGGTTGGGCATGGGGTTAGCGACCCCATCCCGTAGAAAACTAACTCGCTAAAAAACGCTAACCAGAAAAAATTGTTCAAACCATTTAAACTCTGCCCTGGGAGTCAGGAGATCTTCGTTTAGAAGAATTATGACGCCTCATGATGAAAGCCGAGTTTCTTCGGAAGTCACGAGGCCGATGCCCCTTCTGACAACCAGAGCAACCATTTATTTAGGTACATGGAATGCTCGCACAATGTGGGAGACTGGGAGAGTTTTCCAAATTGCTGCAGAAATGAGGAGATACAATTTAGAGGTGCTTGGGATCAGTGAAACACATTGGACGCAAGTTGGACAACAACGACTAGCTTCAGGGGAGCTGCTGTTATACTCCGGACATGAACAAGAAAATGCTCCACATACACAAGGAGTTGCATTGATGCTGTCCAAACAAGCACAAAATGCACTTATAGGATGGGAATCTCATGGACCAAGGATCATCAAAGCCTCATTCGAAACAACGAAATAGGGCATTACAATGAACTTCATCCAATGCTACGCGCCTACCAACGACTACAATGAAGACGCTAAAGATCAATTCTACGATAGGCTGCAGTCAATCGTCGAGAAGTGCCCAACAAAAGACCTGACTATTCTGATGGGAGACCTAAATGCCAAGGTTGGAATGGACAACACCGGATACGAAGAGATCATGGGACGACACGGACTGGGAGAAAGGAACGAAAATGGTGAGAGATTTGCAATTCTATGTGCCTTCAATAAACTGGTCATAGGCGGGACTATATTCCCACACAAACGCATACACAAAACCACATGGACTTCACCGGATCACAGCACACAGAACCAAATCGACCATATCTGCATCAACAAAAAGTTCAGGAGGACGATGGAGGACGTGAGAACAAAGAGAGGAGCTGATATAGCATCAGATCATCACTTGCTGGTCGCCAAGATGAAATTGAAACTCAAGAGGCACTGGACAACGGGGAGGACAATATCACAAAAATTTAATACGGCTCTTCTTCGGGATAATGACAAACTCAATGAATTCAAGATAATCCTCAGCAATAAGTTCCAAGCCTTTCATGATCTACTCAATGGAGAAGGAACTACTATGGAGAGCAACTGGAAAGAGATAAAAGAGGCAATCACTTCAACATGTCATGAGGTTCTGGGCCAAAAGAAGCACCATCACAAGGATTGGATCACGGTCGATACACTGGATAAGATTCAAGAAAGGAGGAACAAGAAAGCAGCAATCAATACCAGTCGAACAAGAGCAGAAAAAGTCAAGGCACAGGCTGAATACACAGAAGTAAACAAGCAAGTGAAAAGGAGCATCAGAACTGACAAACGTAAATATGTGGAAGATTTGGCATTGACGGCGGAAAAGGCTGCCAGTGAAGGAAACACGAGACAACTGTATGAAACAACGAAGAAACTCTCTGGAAATCACCGTAAACCAGAACGACCAGTGAAAAGCAAGGAAGGCAAGATAATCACCAACATTGAAGAACAGCGAAACAGGTGGGTAGAACACTTCAAAGAACTCTTGAATCGACCAGCCCCACTGAACCCACCCAACATCGAAGCAGCACTCACGGACCTCCCAGTTGATGTTGGCCCACCAACAATTGAAGAAATCAGCATGGCTATCAGACAAATCAAGAGTGGCAAAGCAGCAGGACTAGACAGCATTCCAGCAGAGGCACTGAAAGCAAACGTAGCGGCAACTGCAAGGATACTCCAAACTCTCTTCAGAAAGATCTGGGATGAGGAACAGGTACCAAAAGACTGGAAAGAAGGACTTCTAGTCAAAATACCAAAGAAAGGCGATCTCAGCAACTGTGACAACTACAGGGGAATCACTCTTCTTTCAATACCAGGAAAAGTCTTCAACAGGGTATTGTTAAACAGGATGAAGGACTCCGTAGACGCCCAACTTCGAGATCAACAGGCAGGATTCCGTAAGGATAGATCGTGCACAGACCAAATCGCAACTCTACGGATCATTGTGGAACAATCAATTGAATTGAATTCATCACTCTGTATCAACTCCATCGACTACGAAAAAGCATTTGATAGCGTGGACAGAACAACCCTATGGAAGCTTCTTCGACACTACGGCGTGCCTCAGAAGATAGCCAATATCATACGGAATTCCTATGATGAATTAAACTGCAAAATCGTTCATGGAGGACAATTGACGAAGTCGTTCGAAGTAAAGACCGGTGTCAGGCAAGGTTGCTTACTCTCACCGTTTCTCTTTCTTCTGGTGATCGACAGGATCATGAAGACATCAACATCTGAAGGGAAGCACGGGATACAGTGGATAGCTAGGATGCAATTGGATGATCTAGACTTCGCAGATGATCTGGCTCTTCTATCGCATACGCAACAACAAATGCAGGAGAAGACAACCAGTGTAGCTGCAGCCTCAGCAGCAATAGGTTTCAATATGCACAAATGGAAAAGCAAGATTCTTCGATACAACACAGCATGAACCAATCCAATCACAATTGACGGAGAAGCTTTGGAAGATGTAAAAACCTTTACATATTTGGGCAGTATCATCGATGAACACGGTGGATCTGATGCAGATGTGAAGGCACGGATTGGCAAAGCAAGAGCAGCATATTTACAACTGAAGAATATCTGGAACTCAAAAAAATTGGCAACCAACACCAAAGTCAGAATTTTCAATACAAATGTCAAAACAGTTGTACTGTATGGGGCGGAAACCTGGAAAACTACGAAATCCATCGTCCAAAAGATACAGGTGTTTATTAACAGTTGTCTACGCAAAATACTTCAGATCCGCTGGCCGGACACTATTAACAACAACCTACTGTGGGAGAGAACAAATCAGATCCCAGGAAGAAGCGCTGGAAGTGGATAGGACACACATTGAGGAAAGCACCGAACTGCGTCACAAGACAAGCCCTCATATGGAATCCTCAAGGCCAAAGGAGGAGAAGAGGAAGACCAAAGAACACATTACGCCGAGAAATGGAGATAGATATGAGAAAAATGAACAAGAATTGGATGGAACTAGAAAAGAAGGCCCAGGACAGAGTGGGTTGGAGAATACTGGTCGGCGGCCTATGCTCCATCGGGAGTAACAGGCGTAAGTAAGTAAGTAAAACAAGAGGAAATATGCATATCTTTCTGAAACTTGTCTTCATAGGTGATAAAATTGTTGGGAAGATGAATATTTTAGATTGAAGGCTACAATGTAAACGATGGGTCAAACGGTTAAATTAACATAATAACACCATCACACTGATCGATTTTCACTCTGAATTTTTATTATTTTGATCCTGTCATATTACATTCCTCGCCTAAAAATAAATCAGGCTGAAGGAGTTGGAATAAATGTACATAACATTTCGTTTGAATTATGTTCTCTATGTTCAGTTTCACAGTATTATTATCACTATTATTTCAACATTCTTTCTTTTAATCTTGTTAATTTGTCTTGCTTATACTGATATACTGAACGGTAAGTTAGTCTGATGATTATCTTCTCCAGATTATACTATGTTCATACCTGAGAAGCTATCATTCATAACTCGTAGCGGTGACATTTCCAGTGGTACTGTGGATAGATGAAATCTAAACAGTTCTTAATTAATATTATCTATTAAAACTCTCTCAATAATTATATTACGAAGTTTGTCGACTATTTTTGTTATCTTGACCTTAATATTACTTTGTTACAAGTTGAATAGTTTAACAATATTATCTCTGATCGCCTCACTTCTTGTCAAACACAAAATACTTACATGACAACATTCGTTTACCTGGATTGTTGATAAAACCAACTTTTCATTAGATGAATACAATTTCACCCATTAATGAACACGATCATCAGCTTCTTATCCGAAGTATTGAAAAGATTACCTATATAGATAAATTAATGACAGCTGTTTATTTATTTATGGGTATACTTTTAATTCTCCAGAAAATAAATTATATCATTTTAATATTCATAATAATCATTATTACTATTCAACTATCTATTTTTATTTAAATTTTCATGATAAAAAGGCAATGGTCTTGAATACTGAAATGGATTTAAGTAAAGTATCACATACTTTTCCTGTTGGTACAATGGCTTATATTAGAGAAGCGGATACATTTTATTTAAAAACAATAGAACAAACGAACACATGGCGTGTAATAAATTTGGCAAGTTTATTTATTTGATTATAAAATTTAAGTATATACATTTTGGACTGTATGAATTACTGTAATTTAACAATTCATTCCAAGTTTTATTAGTGATGTGAAAAAAGAAATATGAATTGTACTAATCACTTGAATGTCTTAAAAGAAACAGTCTAACAATTCTAACAATAAGTAGTCGGTGCTTTGAATAATCATTTATTTAATAATAAGCATATTTTTATTGTATCACAATGAGTAGGAAAATTGTATTTCTGATGTTTCATAACTTAATATAAGCCACGTCCTCAGAGTAAATATAACAGTAATGTATTTATTACTAACTTTCTATTTGAAATTATCATATCCAACCTTGACATTGATACTTGTATGATTATTTGAATTTTCATATAAATTACAATTTTATAATATTGTAGTTGGGATAATGATAATATTTATTGAGAAAATTATTCTTGTCATCTAATTGAAAATGTGTCATCTGTTAATCAGTATTATTTTATTACTTCCTTAACTATTTATGTATGTTGTTGTTATCATATTATATCAGCAAATCTCATTCATACTACTATTCACTAAAATTTCAAGTACTATATAAGTATTTACGGGAGAAACATATTGAGTGAATATTTGTTTTAAAATTATCTTTGCATTATACTTCTTTCTGATTGAATTTGGCATAAAATTAATTTTAAAAAACGCCCAATAGATAACCTTATAAACGATGCCTAATTGGTTGTCCAAATTTATTTATTTGCTAGAGGACTACTACTTGTCTCTGTAATCTTATTCATACTAATATAGGTTTTAACATGATGATTATTTTGATGGTTTGATTGAAATCTGGTAAAATCTAATAACAATATTATTTCGCTATTTTACTGAGTCACAAAACCGGCCTAAAGAAAAAGTTAATACAGTATGGTTTTAATGAATGTATTAACTATTAAACAACTTTGAATAATTACTCATAGATACACCGTACTTTAATTATCAGCTCTTCATAAATTATGAACGTAAGTAGTATTGAAAAAGTCATATGTTATTCTACAAAGACCATTTGATTTTCACTAATCGATTCTACGAAAAATACCTAAACTGGAAAGTAATCAATGCCCCAAGTAGCTCAATCTCCAGACAGAATACCAAAAAGCCAGGGGTCACAATTCAGAAAAATACGTTATATTAGATAGTTGAAGATAATACATACACAAAGTCAATAGCAAAATTTTCCGATACAACACAACATGCACCAGTTGAATCACAATTGATGGAGAAGCTTTATAATATGTAAAAACCTTTACATATCTGAGCAGCATCATTGATGAACACAGTGAATCTGATGTAGATATGAACGTGCTAATCGGTAAAGTAAGAGCAACATATTTACAACTGAAGAACATCTGGAACTCAAAAAAATTGGCAACCAACTCCAAAGTCAGAATTTTCAATACAAATGTCAAGACAATTCTACTGTATGGGGCGGAAACCTGGAAAACCACGAAAGCCATTATCCAGAAGATACAAGTATTAATTAACAGTTGTCTGCACAAAGTACTTACAGTCCGTTGGCCAGACACTATTAGCAACAACCTGCTGTGTGAGAAAACAAACCAGATCCTAGCAGATGAAGAAACGAGGAAGAGGCGCTGAAAGTGGATAGGACACACATTGAGGAAAACACCCAACTGCATCACAAGACAAGCCATCACTTGAACTCCTCAAGGCCAAAGAACACATTACGCCGAGAAATGGAGACAGATATGAGAAGAATGAACAACAGTTGGATAGAACTAGAAAGGAAGGTCCAGGACAGAGCGGGTTAGAGAATGTTGGTCAGAGGCCTATGTTACACTGAGAGTAACAGGTGTAAGTAAGTAAGTAAGTTGAAGTTACCATGTCGACCCAGATTTCATGCTGATTGGTACTCATTATTAGGGTATACCTGCAATCTTGTAGGAACTGATGTCTCCTGTAGAATTCAAACCTGGGTCATTCATCTTTACAGTCTTCAAAACCGCCAACGACTTATCTGAGCCGCGACTGAACTCCTTTGTAATAATGAAGCGTTTACAACTAGATCGATAGGATTCAGTCACCATTAATGAACTAGACAAACATGATATTGGTCAATACTCAGTGACCAATTAATTGTACATTTCTTTATATGAAGCATAGTAACAAATTTTTAATTAGTTGATTATAATTAATGAGCGATAAGAGATGTATCAACAATTTGTGAGTTAAAAGATAATTTACACTTAAGACTGTACACAAATATCACAAAACCTATATTTTTGCAGTAAGAAAATAAACGCTTCCAATATAATTCACCGTTAATATACTTTTTATCCAAAAAAGAATGTATGCCTGGTTAGAATCTCAAATCATTGGTAACATCTCTTAACGTTTCAATTAATTGTAGCTAATCATCATCGATCTACTCAAAACTTCAGCCATTGTGCTTCTTTATGCATGATTACTTTAGACCGGCTATGAAAGATTAACATTTATTCATTATCTTATGAGGGCATAAAAAATGTTAGTCAAATAATTCCAGATAATAATTGTGGTCTGGTTTATGTCGGATAAATAAGAATGAAAAAGCCTTTATAGCCTTATTTCACTCCATTCCTTAAATGTTATTCTCACCGAATAACAATAAAAATATGTATTTATATGGTTTTTTCGTTTTAATTTTCTCTTTTTTAGCTGTCGAAAGCAGATGCAATTAATTTACCAATTCCAAAACCAGTAAGTTATCAATGAATATTATATTTTATAATTGATTGAGTTAAATCTGACTTCATAATAGTGGTTATTTTTCATTTGCTAAAACTAAAGAATTACATTTCAGCAAATGGGAGTCCTTTACCAGTTCGAATAAAAGATATGATGGTAAAGTCTGGAAAGTTGTGTAACCTAGGCAACGAGTATTAGTCATCTAAATTAAATCAGTTTGCATGATATAGTATCTTCGATATTTGCAAAAGTTATAAATTATACTTAAAATACTCGTTCAAATAAACGCACTTATTAGTTAATATCAACTAATGATATGCTTGATTTGAGTCTTGCTACCAGTTCAGAAATCATTCAAAGATTAGTTCAGACAATGTAAGAGCATACAACCACCTCTCTCCATTGTTTAATTCCAAAAGTTGTTTTAAGTAGAGTAGTCCAATCTTAACATTCCTCTTCAATTTTGCTATCAACGAAATTCTTAAAACAGGAATAATGAAAGCAGGTAATGGTAGTGCAGATCTGTTAGACGAAGGTAGGTTTTTTAATCGCGAGAATGTGTATGCTATTGCGTTGCTGTGTGATGACACTCAAACTAAGCAAATCCCGTACAATTGATTGGGAATCAATGTCCGTTGTGATGTCATGTACTGTGCACCTTTTAAATACAAAGTGCTTTTATGAAACTGGGATAAGCCTATACCTACACTCACTCTTTGTAACGAGCTATTGAGAGTAATCGAAAATTCATGTGTTTGAAAAGTCATTTAAGCGTTGGTTTTGCCCTGACTAATGAGACCAATCTACGTACAGTGAAAGCCTGAGTTTCTTATGGAATCTTTAGTGCTGTAGTGATGTCAGTTTGGGTGCAAAAGATTGGATTCACAACTCTGAGAGCAGTTCTGCACTATGCTTCTCTCTGAGTTGACAATGTGTTTGGCAACTGTCTATGTTTGATCAACGTTAACTCTGAAGGATTACTAATATTCAACAGCAACATTATGTTAGTAATGCTGAGGTATGACAGTGTGTGTTCGAGCTCAATGGTGATAATTCTATTGGTTTCACTATCTTAAAACACAAATTTCTTCGGTTTGTACATATTTCACAAATTTTATCCCGAAGACCTTAACATTAATTTCCGACTCTAGGATGGGTTAGAAAAAGGGACCTGGTCAGTTTATGATATGGCTGTGATATTAAGGAGAGCTGTATAGGGTTTCTCTTTGTTAGTCCATCACGGATCGTTTGCTGGGGTCTTTTAGACAGTCCAGCTCAGCGTTTTGAGACGTTGTCAGGTGTGGCTCAAAACAGTATATAGTGATGGTCTTACTGTATATTTTTTAAATTCTTAATTTTAAAAATAACAGGAACTCCTTTATCTGAAAGAATTCTCTTTAGTTGTATTTTATCTGAACTGCTTCTCCCATTCTATACTGTCTTTGTGCACTCACTTCTATCCACTTTTCTACTTTCGACTATATTTCCTTCTCTATCCCTTCACAATTTCATTTAATTTGTGTGGGACATATTTATTTTGTACCAGTTTTTATATGTATTGAATAAATATACAAAAAGATGGTTGGTTATAATGGGATTTAGATAGAAAGCTAATAAAAATACGATGGATAGATGATCTTAAAGTGATGAATTAGATTTCACAGGTTAGAAATTAGTCTACTCGCCTCAATGCCAGTTATTTATATTAGTGAAGTCAGCCTATATGAAGAACCTTAAGAAATACCATAAACACTCTTGACTATACTCTATGTCATACGAACTGTACTCAACAAGTAATTTGTATTCCAGTTACGATCTGAATCAGAAGGTTCAAGTGTTTTTTGTAACTAAAGCTTGCCATCATCTCATATAATACGGTTGCACAAAAGACTTATGATTGTCTATTTTAAATGTCTTAAGAACGGGATAAAAGTGAATTTTATTAGATTCATCATAAGATATAAGTTAACTGGCATTACATTTGAACAACTCACAAAAATCAAAGAGTGGCTATCTTAGACTTAATTGGTTCGTTTCTCCCATTTATCAGTTGAGGCTATTATGAAATGAAATTTTATTTAAATGAACATTAAGATGAATATATTCCAATTTTAGTTTTAACATATTGATTTATTAAATAGAAATTCAAGAACATAATTAAAAAGTCAATCCAGTGTTATTAAGTTTTTATTTATCAACCAATAAGAAACTGTCTGAATCTTTTATTGTGTTTGCTTTTTTTTAAATAAATGAGTCAGCTTAACAATGTAATTTTTATTAAATGTGCATTATTGTAACTAAAATTCTGTGTAGGTGAAGGATCACATTAATTGGTTTAAATGTTAAAATTCCTATTTTCAATTTGTGATTTTAAAGAGTTAACATCAAGTCATCTGAAACTTGTTGATTAACCGATGAATCATTATTTTAGTATATTTGAAACAGTGTCATTTAGTGGACAATTTGATACTGACCAATGTACATTGATTTCTTATGTTCAAAGTAGGAAAGGAACGGAATCCTCCGCTCTAATAATAATAATAAATTCTGAAAATAAAAATTACAGAATTCATGCCAGTTTACAGACATGATCAACTTGATATAGATAGTAATCTTAAATGTAGAAAACAAATGGGATATTAGATTGTCTAAAGTGTTCTAGTTCCAGAATTGTTTAGATAGTACATTTTTAACACTTTATGCAACTCACAAAATGTTGGGACTTGAAGTTCTGTGAAGGACAAATTGCAGGAGTACCTAAATCCTTAGTCGACTACTGTATGTGGCTTAGATAACACCTTACCATCTATAGTAAGATCTAAGTTGAATGAAGTATTGACGAAGCATATTCATCCAAATTTAGCCATGTTAAGCTCCTACTGCCATTTTGAGCACTACTGTGATACCTTTTTGAGCTATATACTGATAACATTTCGCATATTGTTCAGCTTACGAGAAGAAAATGAATACACTACATTAAGACCATCTGAATATAGAAGAGACTTACTCATACAGAAGTAATCTGCAATATCATTCATATAGACCAAAGAAAGGCGAAGAACCTAAGACACTACCTTGTATTACACCACTTTTGACCGGGAAATCGTCCGATGAGGAGAAGTTAATTTTGACCATTTGGTATCGGCGACCGAGTAAAGAATTAAATCAAGTAAGCAGAAGGGTTTTTGATTCCGTAAGACGAGAGTCTGACCATAAGACGCTGGTGATTAACCATGTTGAAAGCCTTAGAAATATCAAAGTATGGCACTAAGACTAGATATCCTCGGCCACTTTAAGTAATGACGGTTATAAGAGGGACAGATAAGGAGAGCACCAACTACTATTTTATGGTGACTGATTACAAATTCATTATATACTTGTATAGATAGTGGGTTGGTATCTCTACAGGATATTAGATCAAGCATACTATCATGCCTTGTTGAGGTACAAACCCATCGGGACTAGTAGTGCATGTTAATTGTTGCCAAGACTTCATCATTGCATGACTGACCACCTCTAGTATTCTAGTTTTTTCCAAGGTAATTGAAATCTCTTGTAATAACCTTTGTATTGAAATTTAGAGCAGACGCATCAGTAATATGATCATTCACATTATCCGAATTGTCAGAGGCTCTGTGTATACATCCCAGGAGTAGGCTATTATTCGGAGTGTTGACTGACATTCAAACCAATTCAAGCAAACTACTGTCTTCAATTTTATTTATTGTCAGAGAATCAAAGGCATATATAAGACAGCCACTTCGACGTTTAGTTTCTCTATTACAGAAATAGAAATTGTAGTTCTGGATAATTAATTCTGAATCAGACACTGCATTAGAGCACCATTTTTCAGTGACAAATATGAAGAAAGGTTTGGTTAGTGAAGCTGAGGTTCTTAAGGTCTGAATCTTATCTAGAAGTGAACGTACAATGAAAAGTAATAAGTGTAAAAATGAAGTATAAAATGTAATAAAATAAACGAAAACGTCCTTTTCGATGTTATGCACTTTAGAAGTGACTGGACTATAGTTTAATATGGATGTCTAGTCGTATGCTAACCATAATTAAATTAAAATTAAGTTTTCTGTTATGTGAGTTGAGTATCTCAACTTATATTAGTCAGTCAGTTTGCTTCTGTAAATCGATATCAGGAAACGTTAAATCATAAAAACAAGGCTATGAATAAAGGTGACAAGAATAAAATAAATGTTTAATTCGGTGGTTAGTTATGTCTTTAAATTAATTTATTTATTTATATTGTCAATTTTATACATACATCAAATTGTTGATTACTGTACATCAATTACTGCCAATTCGACGTAGCAAATCTAATTATTGACCGGATATTCAAAATGACACATATCTATTTCATCATAGAATTCAAAGTTGTTTTGATCATTTGGAGATTTCTGTTTAATACATTATAAATTCTTCATTTGCAGTTTTACTTCTCTTCCTTGGATCAAATAATATCAATCTTTGTTCCGTTATCCTTTACCAAGTAAACCATTGTATTCACAGTCTTGACAAATAGTACTAATAATATTCTGACAAGTCAGTACGAAGGATTTTATGCGAAGCTCATAATTACACTTATTAAATATGATATGGTTCATCATGATGATAATGTCGTTAAAGTTACAATCGGTATTTTTAAAATTTAAGTTTCAAAAACGTTGCAATGACGTTAAATGTCTTGTTGAACTTTTTTCTAAAATAAATGATTTAATAATTTCACTATCATAATTATTAGAGATCTGTTTTAATAATTCATTAATTTATTCTACAATATACATCTGTTCGTAAACAGTGGCCTAGGACATTTAAGGAAATATTTCAATCTAACATAGTAGTACTGTTTTATTAATTTTTTAAAAAAGAAAGTGTAGTCAATATGAACTTTTTGTTCACTGTTAAGATCTATTCATGGTAACTTCACTGGAAATTAGTAAATGGATAAGAATTCAAAAATCAGCTAGATAAACAACCATCTTATACTCTAATTGAATTATATCATTTTGTAACAGCTATATATTTGTATAGCTTTGTTACACCTATTTATGAAATAAACCACAGCAATATAATTAAATTCTCTTTTTTATATTGAAAGTAAACATTAATTGCTCATCACTTTTATTCGTTTTTTTCATTGTTGTATTTAGACACCAGCTCCTGTATTTGAACCACAATATTATCCAGTTCATAAAGGGAAAAAGGTGAGCATCATAAATATATTTCAGAGAAGGTGTCATGGGGAGATCAATGATTATAGATTTATTAAATGTGAGAATGGTTTGTGTCATGAATAAAAAGGTAGTTGAACAACTGTTTAAAATTTGGAATTATTGGTTAGTTCTTTCGTTCTAGTGTCCAATTATTCATCCGTGGATGGAATTTGTGACGCTCTGTTGTCTAGCAGCGAACATGATACTTCTTGATTACTATAATGAGAATTGTTTTCAAATGTGATTAATTTCTATAAACTAGTCAGATAAATAGTGAAAGGGTTATATTAATAGAAATTAGGCTAAATGTCCAACCATTATTTTGTAGACAACCTATTTCATAAGGCCACTTCCAAGCGTTGTCATTTTTTATATGTACGAACGAATAATTTTCAGGCAACAACCAATTCAAAACAATTCGATAATGCAATCAGAAGACGGAGTTTATCAGAATTACGTGATATATTTGCGCAATACATTCTTAACAAGTATATGTGTGATCAGATTGTTCGAAATGTATTGCGCTAATATATCATATAGTTCTGATAAACTTCGTCTTCTAATCGCATTATCGAAACAACCAATTCATCATCTTCAATGTAATTATGAAGTTGTAGTAATCTTTTGAAAATTTTTAAAAATGTGAAGCTTTAACCTTAACTATATAACTGACAACATTTGTGACTCGGAAAATTAATTAATGAAGTGTTTTTCTGATGTTAAATTAAGTTCTATGAAAGAAATATAGCATTACATCCTTGGATTAGTATACGAAGAAACTTTAAACTATGAAATCTAAAAACAAAATACAGTTCGTGAAAATAAAATATGTTTAAGTCAGATAAATATGAGCAATATTTACTCTCATTGGTTAAAGCCCAAACTAATGTCATAATAAATCGTTTACAATAGCTATTAGTATACTAAAATTTGCTCCGGTTACTGTAAAAAGTTTGATACTAATGCGACTCATGTTGAATTTCGTGTGTAATCGAGAGCTATTCCAAACGCTACTAATCTTTACAAAAAGTATCAAAATTAAACAGTAAACATCAATATACGGCTGTGTAGATTGTGGAGTTTTATTGGCATCACAAACCGATCTAAATTTGATGAACAATGAAAAACCGGGAGCACTGAATAGCTGTCTCGTCCAAGTAATGGGCTTATCAGTAGTGCGCACTCACTGTGCTTCAACTGACAATAAAACGCCAGGACCTTCAGTATCACTAACGAACGCTTAACATTTAGACTACTCAGCCGGTGCACAGTGGTTTACAAAAGATTAAGCTCGTTAGACCGAAAATCCTGGGTTCGATTGCCGACTGAGGCTTCATGTGTCCGCAGTGGTGGGGAGTCCCACACTAAGACGAAACGGCCATTTGATGCCCTCAGGTTTTTAGAGGTTATTCAACTTAGATCATGATGTCGATTATAGTCAGAAATCAATATGAACAAAACAATCAAATGTTAGTAGTAAACTATCAAACGAAAATGTAAAAAATTAGAAAACCAGTTATAACCATTAAACAAGCAAATAAAATTACTCCCATGGATTAAAAGGTTGACACTTGTAATATGCAAATTCGTATCATGCAAAAATGGAGTGAGAAATTAATTAAATATTGAACTATTAAAACAGGAAACAAATAAAGGTTATGAATACCGGTTTATGACTTCTTAGGACTCATTAAACAGATACCTTTGAAACATATATATATATATATATATATATATATATATATATATATATATATATATATATATATATATATATATATATATATATGAATACGAAAAATAATGTAATTGAAAGTATTCCATACTTAAAGTTCAAATTTCAAAACTAGATCATACTTTCCTTTGAATTAAACGTTTAGATATTTTCTTCTTAAATCTATTACATGAATATGAAATCTGTGAATGGGTCAAGACAGGACGATAACACAACTTTAATGTATAACTAACCATATGATCTTCAAAATAAACCATTTTTACAAATTACAATGTTAGATAATTAGGGAAAATTGACAAATTTTATGAATAATATCAAACACCAACAAGGTATTGTTGATGAATATTAGCAAATAAACACTATAAATTTCTCTTACTATTCAAAATATCAAACATAGTAATTTAACTTGAAATGAAAATCAAAACTTATGTCATTGATGATAATATTCATATACTGTTTAGTGTAAAAACTATAGTTTTAGCTAATATATAAACATAACTAATAATTTTGACAAGAATGACACTTTATTATCTGTTAAATAATGTTGAATGGAATAAATGAACCAAACATGGGATGTTATAACAAGTTTAAATACTTCACAGGATAAATAGATTTAATTTAAGCATTAATAATGTTGTCATTTATCATAGTCTATTTCTTAAACTGACCAAATGACTGTCACGTAGACTTGTGTAAATTCAGGATTTTTAATGATATTTGTTAGTGAATTGATTTAAAGTAATCAAAATATACCTGTTATGTTTTGTAATTATGTGCACGTATGTCAGCATTTCTATAATCAAGTTTTTTTTGTATACGTTTGTGGACATCTATTTAAACTATTGGTTAGTTTATCACACTTAAATCAGTTCGTTTATCTGTCAGAGCCATTGTGTTAACTGACTTCCCCAGTTAATTTTTTTCATAGCTTTTATCTTTTACTAAGCAAAAATTTCTTAAGTGTACTAAATGTCAACTATGAATTATCAAATGAATGTTAAGTTTGTACTCTGGAAATATTTTCGATTTCTTAGTGCACTATTAAAAATATGTCTCCCAAGAACAAACTTGTCATTCTATTGTAGGAATATTATATGCTACTTCTCAGTAGTTAAAATACCTTAGTAGAAGTTTCGGACAGTGATGATGGTATTTAGAATGATTCGTTTGTCTATTGGTTGACCATCTGACAGGTCAGAATCACTTCTTTGAATAAATATTCTACTTTGATTATTAGTTCGTTTAATTGTTGAACAATCTAGATTTCACATTTAACATATCGGCATGTACTTAAGAATCATTAAACACTGAACCGAACTTCATTAATAACTGTCCTAATATGATACATGATATGCGAATTATATTCTAATCAGAACATACGACAAGTAATTTAGACACATGATTAGAGAAGATTTATTCAATATGAGGCTAATTTTAGCCATGGACTGATATCAGCTGAACAACCAATGAAAATCAGAGGTTAGTGAAAAAAAAATCAATTCATACACAAAATCGCACCTAGGATCACAGAATTTATCTTCAGAATACATAACGGAAACTATTACTTAACACTTTTAACTTCAGGAAATTTTTGATATGTCGTGACTAACATTCAGTACCATGATGAAAATATGTTGAACTTTTGATTTGACTGAGTTCACACGTAATAGCTTCTCATCAGAACTTTCAGAATGTTCATTTCGATTACAGCCATTAGCAGCCATAAAATTATCAGTTATGTATTTCGCTTGTCAGTATTTAATAATAAAACTTGGTCACAGTATGTAACAAAAACTGTCTTTTTAAATTGCTACACAATTTGCATAATGATATGATATATTCAACATTCATCACTATCTTACGAATAGTAATAATTCATCATCAACATTCAATTTGTGATCCCTGATATCCTATTTTCGTTTGTCTGATCGAAGTTATCATGTTAACTTTGGAATCGACTACATGTCAGTTTTAAATAACAATATGAAATTGACTGGATATTCATTCAATTTTAAAAATACTGACTAGTTACAACTTCCTTTCTTTAGTTCTTTTCTTCTTTTGTGGAAAGTATCAGTATTAAAAAATCAGCCTGTTGAATGTTATTTAGTTGTTTAAATTATATGCTTATTTTCGAAAGGCTGACTTCATGTTGATTTTACTTATGTACAACTATAATTTAATCGAACTAATGAACTAATTATTATTATTAGATTTGGTAAATTTCCAGGGTTTTCAAATCATTAGCTAAGTATAAACAGTCCTGTTGTTTTTAAGGTTGTATAGTGAACAGCACTGAAACTCAAGACGAGCTTTTCGTCATGGATGAGACTTGTCAGTTGGATTCACCTGTATCCCAGAGTTGATGTTCATACTGAGACCTGAACAGAGAACCTTTCATTTAAAAGATTCGTAGGGTAAATTTTGCTTCATTAATAGCAGAAACACTGTCGAAAATTTTGGCAATTCAAAGGTAGTGTCTTTATCATAAGAATGAACCATCATCTAATTTACTGCATGTTAAATAGAGTGTAGATACCATAATCTAATAATCATTCTTTTCAATCATCTTTTCATAACTTACAGCTTTATTTAATTGCACAAAATGAACCATTACGTGGTGATTTGAAATACAATGATCGAATAACTGGGGCACATGCTGGTTCAATTTTCGCGTGTCAACGTGCAGCAAATCTTAAAGGTCTCGGAAGAGCATTCTATCCACTACTCAGTACAGATATGTTCAATATGGATTATGTTGTACCGCCAACATATAGATATGGTGTTCCTTTGGTTAATTTATATGTGAGTTAATTATGACTGGTTTTATAATCTCATCGGTTATGTAGTGGTTTTAATTTTATAAGTATTTAATTGAAATAACTGAGTACTAGTTGTATTCATCATCAGTATTTGTTAGTCAGATCAAATGGATACAAATAATTTTATGCCTATTTGTTCATTCTCACTATATTCTGATATATTTATTAGGTAGCATCAACCTATTGGTTAAAAGAACAAAGTGTAGGTCACAAAACATATAGAGTATAGACCTAGAAATTTACGGAATAAAATATTTTTTATTTGGTGCCATTTTGAGATATAATTCGTTTCTAACTTTCCAAGATTATTTGTTTACATTATTTAAAACTGGATGACTAAGTGTGTTTATCCCTATTTCCAAATAAAGTACATAATATATTTTAAGATGTTACGCACAAGCATATAAAATATATTTTAGCTCAGGAACACCTGAAAAATATACCTACATCTCCATGGCCAAACGTCACAAAAGCATATCCTTTTGCAGATCATGTGGTTTGATTGTCTACATTTGGTAAATTAATATCAAATGTTTAGTGGGGCCCTTTATTTTGTCGTCATTTAGATCGGACGATGTTTGTTGACGGGCTCTGCACTTTAGTGACCCGAGTTCCGACTCTAAGTAGATCGCATGAATGATTGTTATTGAATTGTATATGTCGCCTATCCTTGTATGTCTTTATCGACTTAATCCGCGTTCAGTGAATAACGGAACTAAATAAGTCAAATAACGAGAATAGACTTTCGAATACATATATTTTGTTTATGAAGCGAATGGAGTAGAACGAAGCGAAACGATACGCAGCGGAGATGGCGGGTAAGCCAACTCCATTTAGTTAAACGTTAATCAATATTTATAGTCACACAAAAATAAGTTACAGACATGTGATGAATAGGATAAGAAACGCACACACACATACGTGCTCATATAAAAACAACCAAGGTTGATAAGCGAATAATTAACAAGGTCAGAATGTGACTCAAGTAGAATGAATAGATTGGGCTGTTCGAAAGCCAGAATACGTTATATGGGCTTAACATAATAACTGACACTACAAATGTACGGTATCTCACACCTATTGAAAGCACTGAGAAACTCCATCTGTAATATCCAGAATCATCGTTAACATGATTATTATTCAGTCACTAACCTATTAGTTAATCATTAATCATTTGACTACTTTTGTTCATCACTTATTTAATTAATTAATCTTGATTATGTGATCTTGTAATCACATTTCTTTTTGTATTGAACCTAATGCTTAAATTTATTGATTAATAAATTAATAATCATTTGTTCTTTCTTCTGATAATGGTCTAGATGGAGATTTGTAACAATTGTCATTTAACCATCTTATTTTAATATAGAACAATTAATAATTATTCTTAACAATTCCATGGTGGTCTAGCTTCAATTGACTTATGATCTCAGCTATTAAAATTACTATATTATCCACAAAACCCCTTTTTGAAATAAAATAATTGTTTTACTATTGTGACAAATAACATGTTATTTCTTGACTTCATTTTACGTTTTTGTCTATTTAAAAGGGTGAAATTCTCTTTGATGATTTTATGAGTCTTGTTGAAGGACGTTCAAAGCCACAAGCGAAATTATTGAATTTTGATGGTGTTGATATAACAGATGATATTGTGTAAGAGTTTGATGAGAAAATTTTATTGTTTGTTATTCAATGTATGTGTTATGCGCCTTTATGAAAAGAAACATTTATGTTAATCATATTACTAATAGGAATTTGGCTGACTGATTTGTTAATAAGTGAAACGATTTTTTAAATAACTTTTGAATATATATTGACGGTTATTATTATTATTATGAACTGAGAAAAAAATGAATACCAGGAAACAGTAGATAACTGTTTTACCAAAGGTTAGAATTATTATGAAATGAGTATACATGACAATACACTGGATCGTATACAGTTTTTCGATATTATGACTAAACCAGTATCCATCAATTCACATTTTCAATTTCAGTCGATCTCCCACATAAATCATTCTTCATTCAATTTCATTAGTAGATGATTACACAACAATCAATCCAGTTGATTCCACACATTCCATCTTCTCACTATGAACATCACAACCTAATCACCATTAAACATACAGTCATCATTCAGTTGGATGATTCGTAACGATTACAACTGTATTCAGTGGATTGTAGGTGATTCTGACAATATAAACCTCATTATATTCTATGCGGTCTTTCATTAGTCACATACGATGACTAAAAGAAGATAGGAGTGTAACATGAATTTACCAACACTGATTTATGCAAACTATTTATCATCACTTTATTTAAGTTACTTGATATCTCCAGATAGTAATTAAACTTATATCATGTTTTTTTCTAGTTGTTACATTTTGGCATAATTGACTAAGTAATTCAACACTTAATTGCACTGTATTATTTCATGCTTTCACTCATACTTTTCAACTGCAGTTAATTTTTTATGTGGAGTATAATTCAATATAGACTTCATAAATTCTGATATTTTAATAAAACGATGACAGTAATGAATGTAGACATTAAGAGAGAAAATTAATAATAATAAAGAACTAACCAAATTTGACTTATCTATCTATTTAAACAATTAATGCATTATGAACATGACTAATCGATACGAAATGAATAAAAAGTTGAACGTTTTAGCGGAAAAAATTAACAGGAATTGTTGTCAAGTCATTTCATTGTTTTCTTAATAGAATTAGTCAATAATAAATTAATGTATCAATCGTGACATTTTTTAAAGGGTTTCATCTAAGCAACTAACGGATTTCTTTTTAATGTACATATTTATTTATTTATTGTAAAATATACATTAACTCCACTGTGCAATGACAAAAAGGGAGGATTATTATGAGGAATGACTATTGAATGTATTCAGTTAGTCAGGTTGTTGTGAATATATTTCATTTTGAAGCTTAAATCATTAATGATATTGATACTATTGGAAAAAAATAAAAGTTTACATTAAGGTATAAATCGGGAGTGAGAGAGATTGAATGACTAATCTAATAGATGTAAAAAATAAAGGTCTGTCAGTCTATACTATCATTTTGTTAGTGAACATGGATTCTAATATTTTGTTATTACTGGCCGAATTATACGTTTGAAATGCATTCAATATTGGATGTTTGGAGGAAGTCAGCAGAAAATCCTGGTTATGTGTTTCGTACCTGTTTGTTGGTAATCGTTACCAAGGGGTATCCGCATCCTTGAAGAAATGGTTTTTGCAGTAGGATTACATTCTTAAACGTTACCATTGAGCTACTGGTTTCATGACTGACCACCTGTAGGACTAAGGTGTTTACACTAGTGAAGTAGTGGTCATTGTCATATTTGCTTAATTTTTAGTCCGTATCATCATTCGATATTATTTAATCAGTACTGAAAACAGGATAATAGTAAAATATGTTTGCGTCATACATAATGCACATAGTCAAAATTATGTTAATTGGTAAGTGGTCACAGCAAATTCAACAAGAATACTATGAAGTTAAAAAGTAACGACAATAAAATATGTTAAACTAAACTTCTATAAAACAAAATAGTTGTTTTTCAGTCCAAATATTTATATATTCCCACTACCACTGATCAGCAACTAACTGATTAAAATCGATATTTAAATCCTATTCTGTACAAATGTAATTCATACCCCCTGAAGACATTTATCAAAAATGATTTCAATACTTAGAAGACACTGTGCAAATGTATCAAAGAAAAGGGGAAATTTTCGTGTAAATTGTGTTATTTAGCCAGTATATGCTGATAATACCACTTGGTTACTACCTTGATATTCAATTTACTATCACCTTAAAGGATAATAATAAGTAACTTATTCAAGTTATTTATGTATCCGAATAATGTCCGACAAAATTTTACCAGAGTTACAATATCCTACAATTGTTTAAAGGCTACGATAGATTTATTTATATTCTATTAACTATTTTCAACCACAGAAATACTGGATAACTATTTTATTTCAGTCTTAAATTCTTTGCTTATAAAAAATTAATATCTGTAAATTTAATCGATGCGTTCCATTTCATTTTGGCTTTGTGCATTAAATTAATAACACTTTCACACAGAAACCTAAAGGTCATAAATATAAACGTTTTATTCGTACTCCTAGGAGTTTTTTTAATAGTTCTCCAGGTTACCTTTATATCTACAAAGATCATCCACTTAAATTGATAGATTTGTATACACATGAGACATATTTTTACCAATTTTCACTTTTTTTTAAATAGTGCACCATGTTTATGGATTGGTCAAAAACCAATTTATTTAAATGGTGATTATGAATATGCAGCTCAGTCAAAATGTCGTAATTGGCAGTCAACTTATCCAGGTGAAAACGGATTAGCTGTGTCTTTACCGATTGTTGACAATGCACCAGGTTTATTTTCGAAACAAAATTTTAAATTAATATCATGTTCGAAATTTTGTCGAATGTTATGCATACAAATCACACCAGCTAATACGTAATCAATCATAATTATTATGATGATCAATATTCGATATACGTATCTGTATACACTTATTCCTGTTCTGCATCCATACATTTTTATCGATTTATATATATATATATATATATACCGCTACTAAGTAAATTAAACGTTTGTCAATTTAATGAGATTTTCAAAATATTCAACAACTGAAAACAGGTACATAGTTGTTTGTTATTCTTCTGAATTTATTCACTATTCAATACGAAACGGTACTACTCTTTTTTCAGTACATACTAATATAACTTATTGATTCCTTCATCATAATTAAACATTTTCGAGTTTGTCGATTTTGATTTCAATGTTGAAATTCAACAGTCAAGCATTTATATTCTCTCATTTATTGAAAAAAAAAATAATAAGAAACCGATTGTTCTTTTTTGTCAAAAAACTATCTGTCTATCTATCTAACTATCTATCGTTTTTGACACCTAAATCCAATTTTTGCATATACGTACTACAAAAAAACAACGGTTTTGAATTTCATTTGAGTTTTTCACCAACGCACCAATACATACATACACAGATACACATGAAGCACGATTTATGATTTTAATGATTTAATATTTCTATCATTATTATTGTTATCATTATTACTCCATTTGTCGGTCTTTGGTTCAAAATTTTGTGGTATAATTTTTTTCCTCATCTGCATGAATCACTATTTCTATGCATCCAACTGAGGAATTAATAAATAACTTTTGTGCAGTTAATTTTGTGTGAAAGTGAAGCAGAATTAGCTGGTCACTTTACATTGGTTTTGTTACTTACTCATATTAATTGTGTGCAGAATTTGTGTTGGAACAGTTAAAAATGTAATGCACTAGAAAAATGGAAATATATACATACATTTTATACTTGATATAAATTTGTAATACTAAATTCATTATGCCATAGGAATTATAAGATTTGGGTTTACATGGGATTCTGTATAAATTATTATGAATTATACCTAATAATTATTAAATAAGTAGCAAACAAAACCAATGGCATTGATTACTAAGTCTAATCTAAGTCTAATCAACATGTTATTAACTTAAAATAGACAACATTAAGTCTTTTAATAAGACTAATTTTTACTCCAAATTGGAGATGAGACTTAAAGTAATTTGGTACGGTGATCCTGATGCGTAATATATGCCAACAGCTGATCTTATATTAATTGATATCACATTATATAATCCTCGGTGTTGAATAATTTCAGTTGGCAAGGTTCTAAAGTGATCACCAGTTTAAATTAATGCGTCTTTAATTGTGGTACCTAATGTTAAAGGTAAGAGTTCTATCTTCATTTAGTTGTGAGCTAAAATGATAGAAGTACGCTGTTGAAGTTCAGATATATTGGTTATTAGGTTGGCTGTCAAGATATTCAATTTCGAGGTGGCTTTTGTCACATACTCGTATTAGTTGAAGATTCGCTGAAAACTTGGTGGCAACTAAAAAAATGTTTCTTCTTAATATGAAACTTCATTGATGCACACTCAAAACCTTCACGGGAGTGAATCCAGAACTTTCAGCTCTCATGTCGAGAATCAAAGTAAAACCCAACAGACTAGATTTTAAAGTTCATTTGGTGAGTATTTTATTCCAAGTATCATTGAATATTTTCATCAGTAATCTCTATCCCACTTCCAGTATGATTTAACTTCAACTATCGTAACTTTATACTGGAACTTTGAGAATTTATCTCGATAATAATCGCTAGCGATTACACTACATGTATATGAATATAGTTTCTGCTCAGCTTTCACCATTGATTGAGGTTATCTAGGAAACCAATGAAAATCACTCCTCATCAGGCATATATTCTACAGGTACCTCATCCATCGTCAAATCTAGTAACTTTAAGTGTTGAAGAGAGTACATTATCGCACAACCAGTGAATTAAAATATAATAACAAGAATAATTCAGTTTTAATTAATTTAAGACACACCACAACAACTACCTAATTTAATCTATATATCTTCATCCTCCTTAAATTTTATTGGTCTCACCAGTCCTATTTAGGTGTCGGATAATTAATAACCATTGTTTTTCAGTCGTTATTACGTAATCAGGTGATTTGTATTAAAACCTTCTTTAGTTAGTTATACAGTTACGAGAGGCATTTTTAAAAAGTTATGTCAATATCATAGATAATTATATTTCTTGTCTTTCCAATAAATTCACACAATAAATCTTTTTATTGTCACTCGAAATTATCTGGTTTCGGGTCAGTAAAGTGATGAATTAACAATTAAATCATGAGCACTTAGATTACCGGGTTACAGGATTCATCTATTGGAAATCGGACACCAATTTATGTCGTCATCTTTCAACCGAAAAGTGTAGTTCAGAAATCTCAAGTATATTAATCTTTACTTGTGTCAGTTAATTTAAATGATGTATTGATAATCTAGCAATTACACTCCCTAAGCTAACTTCAAGGTACCAGAATTAGTGATGAGACATGGTTTAGTAACTGATATAATGAATAGATCGACATAACGCACAGTTATTGAAGAATGACTGAAGCATTATCGATGATCAAATTTGACATTATAATTAGTAGGACATTAATTGAAGGTAGTTTATTTGACTTCTATCATGAGTTCGGATTTCACCTCACTCTACTTCCCATGTTTTAATACATGGTTATATATATATATATATATATATATATATATATATATATATATATATATATATATATATATATATACGGTCATTTAATAACGATGCTTATTAAGAGACCTTAGCGAAACTCGTTTACCATGAACATCTATATGCTTGCCAACAATGATCTGTCCATAGTATACTGTTAACAGTAGAATTTATTACACGCATTTCTTTTCAGTTAGAACTCGTCAGATGGATGTACCGGCATCCTAGTATTAATGTTTACATTGGGATTCCAATACAGTACTTTCCAACTATACTAAAACTTTTAAATGAAGTCTATATCAAAGTGACCAGCTCAGGAACTGTACATGGTAGCAGAGAGTGGTCAGTTCCATTCTTGTATAACAACAATAAGAAATTGCAAACACTTACTAATAATGAAGTAGTCTCGAATTATTTCTTAAGTAAACTATGTTGTATATATATATCCAATTTTACACTGATAGACTAATTATTAATTATTTGACTAAGTGGAATATTTATGATCAGAAATAATCCAAATAGATTTTTTTCATGTACATAGAAAAAAACAGGAAAATCTAATTAGCATGTTCTTGAGAAATTAAATGTATGTACAAAAAGTATACACAACAAAGCTATTATATTCATAATTCAATATCTTTGTCAATGTATTTTAAGGATTGTGTCAATATGGTCATATTCTATGTCCACAAGAGAAGAGCAACTATCAATAATAATAATAATAATAATAATAATAATAATAATAATAATAATAATAATAATGAAGTATTCGCTTCAGAATACGTTATATTTTGAAGAAACACTAAGGAATGTAATCTAATATGATTGTGTTCACAAGTGTATTTGACTGGTATTTTTCAAAAAGGAAATATTTCACAAATAACTAGAACACTTTCAAATAGATGGGTTTGTTTTAGTTTTCGAATTATTTTTTTAAAAACTATACAAATGTAATCTCTATCTCATTTTTTTGGTTGAAAAAGAAAACAACTCGACATTAGATTTCTTCAAAAATTTCATTTTTCCATGTGTTATTTTTATGTAATGATCTTTTGAAATTTTTCATATTTAGAAAATTATTAAAAGGTTGATTTTTATGCATAGACGATGATGTCACTGAGGATGATGTGGCTGAGGTTGATGATGATACAGATTCTGTAAATTGATTATTGATCAATTCATTTAAATTACGTGTAAATCGATAAACATAACGTTTTCCAGAAACTTTTTCAATAATTTTTTTATCATAATAATATCGTAAACCACGACTTAATTTTTCATAATTCATTTTTGGTTTATTTTTTCTAGCACCCCATCGTTGTGCCACTTGATTTGGTTCTTTTAATTTGAATTCATTTTCATAACCAGTCCATGAAATAAATGCATTTGCTTCAGGATCTTGTAATTCTTCTAATAAAAATTGCCATAATTGTATATGCCCATGATGATTGGTTGTTGGTGTTACTGGACAATAGAATGATGTATTGTATGGTTTGTCCATAGATTCAATATCATTGAAAATTAATTGAGATTTTTGATGATAATGATTAGACTGATGAGTACATTGACTATCTCTATTATGAATGAGAATAATATCACTATCACAATGATTTGTACTGACAATATCAGCAGAAGAATGGGAAGATTTGGTCAAGTTATTCGTAGGTAATTCTGAATATACTTGTATTGTATCATTAATAGAAGAATTTGTTGCTAACTGGTCTAAGCTATATTCACCTACAAAAAATGTTCAGGCAAAATAGTTACTTATATGAACGATTTGTCGAAATTTGATTGAATAATCTGGTAAAAATTGGACCCTGAATATCAGGCAAACATCACATGAGAATTTTAACTAAAGAATTTACGTAATGAAATTGGACAAAGCTTGCGTAAGGACCGAGAAGCCTGGTGGTCGGAGCGTGCTAATGAAGCTGAAAGCAGCAGCTGCATCTGGTAACTACCGAAAGCTCTTCCGACTCATCCGACCCACTGGCGCCAATCACTAACATCCATCGACGTCCTGGACGATGAGCAGAATTTTTTGAAGGGCAGTTCAACTGGCCTACTGCTCCGGCAACATCGGTCAGAATGTCCTGCACTCCATGGCCGGTGACGACTGATCCACTAAATGAAGTGGAAGTCCGCAAAGAACTCCAACTCTTGAAGCGCTACAAATCACCGGGCCCAGACGACTTACCTCAGGCTCGTTTTAAAGATGGTGGTGACTTTCTGACTAAGGGACTGACGACGTTGTTTACAAAGGTCTGGGAACTAGAGAGTGTACCAACGTCATGGAATGAGTCGATAGTTGTCCCTATCTTTAAAAAGGGTTCACGTCGTTCCTGTAACAACTATCGGGGGATAAGTCTACTTCCGATTGCATCCAAGCTATTGGCTGCTGTCATACTTCTTAGGTTGTTCAGAACCCGAGAAGGATTGACTCGCCAGGAGCAGGCTGGGTTTCGTTCTGGTCGAGGATGTATTGATCATATCTTCACCCTCCTCCAAATGCTAGAACACCGTCATACTTATCAAAAGCCAACAATAGTAGTGTTTCTTGATATCAGGGCTGCCTTCGATTCGTTGGACAGAACTGTTCTCTGGGATTGTCTATTGAAGAAGGGTGTGCCTGAGAAGTTTATTAACATCCTAAAAGCCCTATACACAAACACCTCAGGCAGAGTGAGGGCATACAATCATCTTTCTCCACTATTCCATCCGAGCAGTGGGGTTGGGCAGGGTTGCCCAATCTCACCATTCCTCTTCAACTTTGCCATCAATGACATTCTGGAAACAGCTCTGACGGATGTAAGTAATGGTGGTGTGGATCTGTTGCCTGGAGAAAGACTTCTCGACCTTGAGTACGCGGATGGTATTGTCTTACTGTGCGATAATGCCCAAGCTATGCAATCCGCACTTAATCAGTTGGCAATCAATGTCCGTAGGTATGGTATGTGCTTTGCACCTTCGAAGTGCAAAGTTCTTCTACAAGACTGGCAGGATTCTAATCCTGTACTCACTCTGGATAGTGAGCAGATTGAAGTAGTCGAGAAGTTCGTGTATCTAGGTAGCTGCATAAGTGCTGGTGGTGGTGTGAGTGATGAGATCAATGCACGTATAGTGAAAGCCAGAGCGGCTTATGCCAATCTGGGTCATCTTTGGCGCCTTCGTGATGTTAGTCTGGCTGTAAAAGGTCGGATCTACAACGCGTCGGTGAGAGCAGTTTTGCTCTATGCTTGTGAAACCTGGCCTCTCCGAGTTGAGGATGTTAGACAACCCTCTGTGTTCGATCATCGCTGTCTCCGAAGGATTGCTAACATCCAGTGGCAACACCATGTTAGTAATGCAGAGGTTCGGCATCGTGTGTTCGGTCACAGAGACGATAATTCTATTGGTGTCACCATCTTGAAACACCGACTTCGGTGGCTTGGACATATTTTACAAATGTCGTCCCAGAGAATTCCACGTCGTGCATTATTTGCCGACTCTGGGACAGGTTGGAAAAAGAGGAGAGGTGGTCAGTATATGACATGGTGTCGTGGTATGAAAGAAAGCTGCAAAGGGCTAGCTTCTGTTGGTCCTTCACAACTCCCTGGCTGGGGTCCGATAAATGGTGTAACACAGTGGCTAGAGACGTTATCAGATATGGCTCAGAATAGAAGCCAATGGCGATCCTGCTGTAACCTTCTTTTACTTTATTCGAGAAGAGTGATTGCTTCTTCCTTAACTGAATGATTTCTCCTGATTGTACCTTTCCGTTTCCCCCATTATTATTATGATCATTACTATTATTATTATTATTACACTACCTTACACTAATCTTTTCGTTATTGTTCTTTTTTTACGCTCCTTACCACCTTCTTTTTTTCTGCCTTTTCAAATTCTCATTGTTTTGTGTGGCGCATATATATTTGGTGCTCTCTTGTACCAATATTTATGTCTTCAAATAAAAATAAAAATAAATTCAGAGATTGAAATTTAAGAATCCCAACGCTTCGCCCGGGAAATTTTTAATAATCCCTTTGAGGAAGCACTGGCGAGTCTACACAGTGAAACGGACTATCTAAATTTCACTCGTTGAGATTATTTCAAGTAACTTTTACACATAAAGGTTGTTCATAAAAATGTATCAATTACTGTTTAGCTACTAATGAGTAGGCAAATTATTATGGTAAATTGTTTTGGCTAGTTTAAGTTTATTATGGATAGAAGCAATCACTGATTTAACTTTCATCAAACTGTCTGTTTCATTCTAAAGAGGTTTTAGTAAAGCTGGCCTTGTTATCGACCAGTTGAACTTTTATAAAAATAACAACTTGTTCTAAAATGAAGTTTTATCCATCGTTTACTTATAACTGGTTGTGTTGTTCTTATCAATTCTGAGTATTTTATATCATTACAATCATTTCCGTGTAGTAGCTGACTAGTATGTACTGGCTATATACGAACTTCAAATAACATGACCGGTGATCCGTAAATCTTATACCTTCATGTCAAAATAATGTTTTCATTAGTGAGGTATTAATTAAGTCATATATTTTACCCATTTACTGAACAAACAGATCTAAAAATCCCTATTTTATTGAATGAACAGACAGATAAATCTATAAATTATACCTAAATTCTTACACATACTGCGAGTTAGACTTTGATTTAGTGTCAACATTTCATATACTCGATTTTTAACAACTGGTAGCAAGATTACGAGCAGCAACATTTATATGACGGATTTTAAACTTTATGTTAATCGTTTCTTTTGTTATCTTCCCATGGAATTGAATTACTAAGTCTTTGTTGATATTTTAAATGATATAGGTACCAATTAGAATAAATCTATTGTGTGTTTCTGGTTTATCGATGTCTTGTTAGTATTATTGTAGGTCAAACCGGAAACAGAGTTAAATTTACTTCCAAGTACAAACTGTACAAACAGTATTATGAAGGAGTATATGTCTATCAGCATTACTTTTAATGCATGTATATATTCATTCATACAAACCACTGTATTTACAAGTAATGGTCACAAACTATTATCCTCATTATAGAGAATACAAGCTCGACTTGATCCCTGCTATTCAAGCTAGCCAGTTCCAAAATAATTAAAACAACTGTCCAGTATCTTCTGGTCTTCAAACTGTTCTCCAGATGACAGAAAATTCATAAGACCATCAAACTTAATGATGAATGCAAAAATTAGTAACTCACTTTGATCACTGCAAGTGGTTTCTTGTTGGTGTTGGGGATTCAAAACCGGTAACGATTGACAATTATTAGTATAAATTGATTGAGAGGGATATTTATATGCTGTGAAACTATTATTGTTATATATACGACTATTATTATTGTTATTAATATCCAGGATATGATTATTGAATCTTTCATTTCGATAGTTTAAATTATCATTATTGACATCGGAACTCAGTAATTGCGAATTAATTAATGTATTATTATTAGTAGTAGTATTACGAGGAATTGTGCTAGTTGGTAAATTTAATGAGGTCGAATTATTCATTAAAAATGAATGGTCAGGTTGTGTTGACATAGTTGTCACCATTGTTGTCGTCGACGTCGTGGTTGAGGTACTTGTCATTGTTAACTGAATACATGGGGGACAATCATTCCTACTGATTATTTCTTTTTCAAATTTAATCTATGAAGTAATGATAATAATAAACGGTCAATAAGTCAACAGACATTATATATCCTAGGTACGTCTGTGTTATGCTTATCATTCTTAAATGCCTAGGAAAATCATTATGTAGGAGAAGAATGCCATGGCCCTATAGAAAACTTTATTATTAAAATAATGAGTAATTATTTACACAAATCATATGTGCAGATGCAAATTACAATATCTGATCCAAGCACAGACATATATGCAATGACCCCGACTAGGTAAATAATCTGCTCACTAACAATATCCCATCTGAACTTTAATTACTCATTTATCATGTTTTTGAGACAGCATATGATATGTTAAGAAATAGTGAAAAACCATAAATTGGTCATCACCAGATAACTCAGAATTGTACAATATTCACCCATTCAAGAGTTAATGCCTACATTGTCTATGACTAATGAAAGACCGCATAGAATATAATGAGGTTTATATTGTCAGAATCACCTACAATCCACTGAATACAGTTGTAATCGTTACGAATCATCCAACTGAATGATGACTGTATGTTTAATGGTGATTAGGTTGTGATGTTCATAGTGAGAAGATGGAATGTGTGGAATCAACTGGATTGATTGTTGTGTAATCATCTACTAATGAAATTGAATGAAGAATGATGTATGTGGGAGATCGACTGAAATTGAAAATGTGAATTGATGGATACTGGTTTAGTCATTAAATCGAAAAACCATATATTCATGACGAAAGTTATCTGTTTACATAACAGAAAGTAATTTTTCGTCACTACATAAACGGTGATCAATATTGATTAAATGTTTTAATCATCTATTAGGCTCGTCAAAATATTTATAAATTAGTTATACGATATGCTATGAAATAAATTACAGGTTGTGAGATGTAACCTCAGTTTATTTACTCCAAAAGAGCATCAGTAACAGATTGAAGTTAGTAATCGCTACTTACAAATGTAAACTGAATTCTGATTATCATAATAATAAATTATATTGAAATGAATCTGTACTGATTATCAATCTACTTTCGATTTATACGTTTAATTGAAAAGTGAACTCCATAATCAAAAGTATTGATATTATATTTTAATTTGTTCACGTTTCATGAATTCATATTCATTCCACCAGTATAAACAAAACATCAGCTAATAATTACTAAAAGAATGTGCCGATGTTATAATGTTATAATATATTTAAATTTTTAACAAGGAAACCACATATCATGTCTCTTATAACTCATTTATAATCAATTACCGTTTCATACTTTAAATTTCTACGAAAGATAAGTCATTTTGTCAAATCTAACTATGATACAAAGTGATCGAAAGCTTACTTGATCATCCACATCAAAATGATCTGCATCCATTTGTTTAATTAATATACTATTGTCACTGTTAAATTTTCTCATATTAGTTAATTCGTCTGGATTATTTGGCTGAATAGATATTACTTTTTCAAAATTAGAGCAATATACAGGATTTTCAGGCATATGTTGAATATGTTCTTGACTACATGTGATGAATGCTAGCAAAACAAATATAAGATTTATTACATTATTCGTAAGAATTTTTAAATTCGAGGAAAAATAACACGAAAATTTATCAATATTTTAGGATGAATTTATACTACTTAAAGTTAGTTAGTAAAAAGCGATTCAATATCAAAAAAATATTCTCAAGCTACGAACTCGAGTTAAGCCAACGGTTTAAACTGACTAAGAATATGATCACTGTCTAAACACCCGACTCCACACGGTATCCATCTATTATCCATTCTAACTAAAGAATTTTTTCATATTACTCAATGACTCTGAGGCTTTCATAAATATAAGAGAACATTATCCTAATGATCAAAGTATTTAAAGTTAACCACTAGATTTGACGTTGAAACCTTATTTTGCTTAATTCTGTATGATAACCCTGAACAAACCACCAGATTTTTCCCGAAAATTTTCATTCAAATCAAAGCGAACTAATCTGTCTGATTAACTAAAACATCAAAATAGTTTAACAAGTAACTCATTGTAAAATAAGCCTAGTGGTAGTTTTATGTGACAGGTCCAAATCCGAAGTAGATTACTGAATCAATAAAGAGTAGAAAAACACGTTGTTGAAAGGTTTGAATTAACATGAAATCTATGTCTGAAGTTTACTGCCGGTTGGCCCAAACAACCCAATACTAAAAACATTGTAAAATGGGAGTTTATATTTACTGATCTAGCATCCATATTACAACTTGATCGATTAAATTAAATTACCATAAAGTTATCGATAAATACATATTTAATTATTAAATATGGTTTATTGAATTGTGAACAACAGTTTAATGTAAAGGTAATTTATGACAACGCAGACAGAACACATCTAACAAACCATTCAAAGCAATCGAACATCAAAACAAAAGACTAGCCTTGATATATAATTCCAAAAGCCTGCTGAAAAAACTCTGATTGTATATTCAAACAAGTCGAAGATAGCACTATCCCAATTATATCGAAAACTTACTGATGCGAAACATTAAATTCGAGTTCAATGTATCAGATTCTCACTGAAACCTGGAAGTCCTAAATTTGGCTCTTTATGAAATTATAAGCGGGCACTTCTAAGGAGTCCAAAAGTATGAAAAAACAACTCTATTTGATTGATCAACGGTTCCCCAATTGAAGCTGGTTTATGACGGAAATCATCTTCCAATTACATAAATCTCCTCAAAGAGGTTTTAATAGTTAAATGACATTATGTAATAACTTTAAGCAGATTATCGGTGAACTTAAGACCATTTTTAAAATATCTATTACATTTTGAAGTTAAGACTTACTAGATAATCTATTCTATTTAAAGAAACATTTTAAAATCTAATTATTATTACACCAAAACTGTGTAGTATGGATGACATAATCATACGAAATGGATTTTATTTATATGGAATACTTAATGATAAACAATTTTAACGGATTAATTTCTAGTAAACAATTTTTAGGGGATTTATGTTGTAATAAATTAACTTCACACATGTCCATTTCACCTAGCGTATTTAATAATTCGAGAGGGATGTATGGCATACAGAATAATAATTATTATTATCGAAGCTCTGTATTAGTAAATAATTTGGGTTGTCGATTAACATTCCTAAACTATCCCCCTATATTTTTGTGTTGTACAAACTGATACAAGTAGAATTAGAATTTTTTTTAAATACAGTTCTAAACTGGTTTATTATATAATCAGTTCATTTAAACGGATTAAATTGAAAATAAATAAATCATCGAGAATTTAATTAGTTGTATTTTTTTCGCTAAAAAAAAGAAGCTGATAAAAAACTAACAGTAAAGTGTAATTTGAATAGTTATTTAATTATTTTCTCATTCTATTTCATTATCATTTGAATTTATGATTAAAAAATATATAATACCTCAATAGAGAACAAGATTGGGAGTTGTGTATTTTAGTTAAACAGTATATTGCGTAATTAAGCTAAATTGTTTAAAATAAATTTTCCTTGGTAAATAAGATAATTGCATCCACCCACACACCCACCCCAGTTGGTTTTCAATGAACAGTGTCTTGTTGATTATTTCTATTATACCATAGATTATATTTGGGAATTTAATTGTCAATAGTAAATAAGTCAAATACTTTTTTCTTCGAAAAGAATTAAATATACACTACCATTTTGTTAAACTAAACCACAAACATTTTAAAATGTGTCAATTCGATAAATGTTTTACTGGTTCAAGAAAGAGAGAGGAAGGGAGAACGAACTGTCAGTCATAAATTAAATTAAGTAACCGAGTTTCCTTATTGTGGAACTGTGGAATAACAGGCATTGCTGAAGAATTACACTTTTTTGATGAATAATAACCAACATGAATATAGATGTAGATTTTCCTGTAAAATTTCTCTTAATTATCTTATATTTGGAATGAGTTCAGACAGTAATTATGAATTACATAGTATACTAACCAAACTGTAACTCGATCAATCGAATTAGATGAACACCAAATAGACAAACATGATACGGTTTTCTATGCAATGATTATCACCGTAGGAAAAAATCTCACTCCCGGATGGAAGTAATTCTTAAGCTCAATGCAGTAATAGTCCTAACTGTGACCAGGGTACAAGTCTCATCAGAAGCGTCTGTTCTTTCAAACTTACTGATGAGGAAGAATAATCATATAACTCAGTTCTATTTATTGTTTATAACAGTTTGATCAACTGATATTATAAATTGTACACATTTACCAAGTGATATCCAATTCGAATGATTCAAATTTGACTATTGATCAATATAAAATCTTATAAAATACAATGTATTCACACATAGTTTATGATCTAATTCTAATGCATGCACGTGCTCTATTTAAAATTTAAACTGTTAGATCCAAAAGTGTAACAAATAAAAACCCAATGTACTCAAAAAGAACAGACGATAAGCTGCTTCCGAAAAAAGATACTCTTTGTGTTACCTTAAGTGAAATTTTAACTTAAGGTAACACCAAGGGTATCTTTTTTCGGAAGCATCTTATTGTCTGTTCTTTTTGAGTACATTGGGTTTTTTATTTGTTACACTTTTGGATCTAACAGTTTAAATTTTTACAATGATAAATTTATTGTCTCTGGGTACTGTTTGCGTCTGTCTTTTTTTGGAAACCTCTGATTACTGACTATATAGAGAAAAAAAGAGCGATTTCCATCTCCAGGGCTGTCGATACTCTATGGAAAGTGGTATGCAGTGCGATGAGTACAAAGGATAGTACCACGAAGTTTGTACGAATCTAACTGCCGTGGCTTTCAAATGGTTTATTAAAAATGGTTGCGTGCGTTTGTGTCGGCAATTCTGCTTGGACTCAAACAGCTTGCTATCCGAAGCCATTGCAATGGTGAACGCTGTTAAAAGGAATACTAACACATTTGATCGAGATGTATTAAATGGTACTCGCTCTGTCGATACACAAATCGATATGAAGTTATCCGAAAAAAAGGACGAGAAACTGAAAAACAACTAAAACTAAGGTTATGTACTGATGAAAAGAACTTTAGAACTGTAAATTTTCAGATGGTTAGGCTCCCACAGAGGATGATGCCGAAGCCACTCTGGGTGCAGCATGAAATAATTAAAATGGTCTTCGGATATGTTTGCTCAACAAGCGATCGGAGCTAGGTGTACAGATAGACTCTACCAAGCCGGATGTAATCGCTGTCACAGAAACTTGGCTGACGCAGTCTGTAGACAATAGGGAACTTAATTCCGAATGTTCCACATTAGAAAGAGACAACAGAGCCCAGAAGAGTAAAAGAGGAGGAGCAGCTCTACTCATTAGAAATACTATTCCGTTTGCCGTTATCAAAAACATATCCCATGAAAGTGGGAAGTGTGAATTAGTTAGTTACCTCATGAAATGCAAAGGAAAAGAGCTGCTAATTGGTTTGGTCTACTGAAGTTCAAGCTGTGAAGTGAGCGCGGTCTTTCCAGACAGTTGTAACACTCAGTCATCAAGTGGTCGATGTTTAATCTTATGAAACCTTAATGCACCTACAGTAGATCAGAAAATCCTTTCGAACAGAAACTAGCTAACTCGGTTGTCACATGTGTCCAAGTGCAACATGTGAAGAAAACAACTAGGTACGACCCGGACTACTAATCATCCTTACTAGATCTCATATTGACCCATTGTGAGGATGACGTCACAACCCTCCGGTATATGACATTCTTAGGTAAGGGTAACCATGCAGTTCTACATTTTGTTGTCACCAACTATGTGTCAGTTCAAGCCAGACCAAACGCCAGCAAAGCAAATACACAAACTTGTACACCCAGCATCCTCAGTAGATTTGACAATAGAATCAGAACTTTCTATTGAAACGGTTTGTGAGGTATTAAGAAATTTGCACATAAGACTTATTGAACCGTATCTAGACGAAAACCCAACTCTCTGAAAAGCAGCATGGTTTCATAATGGGCTGTTTACGTCTCACTAACTTATTAGTAGCTCGCCAAAGTTGGTGCGCTTTTAAAGATCAAAAGTTACCTATAGATGTAGCCTACATTGACTTCAGTGAGACTTTTGACAAGTTCCTCGCAACCGGCTGTTATATAAATTTGAGGTCAGTGTTGTTCCTCCTGTATGTAAATGACATTTTCAGTCTCTTATCTTATCATGGGTTTTGTTATATGCTGATGATGTTATGGTGAGCGATAAAAGTAAAGGTAATAGTTTAGAGCTTCAAAATGACCTGGAGAAATTATCTGAATGGTCTAGAATTTGGCGGTTGCCGATATGTGCTTCTAAGTGTATCATGATGGATAATGGACATCAAGATACAAATACAAACATGGTGAATAACATTGGGGTACTTTTTGTCTGTACACACAATGACCTATGAGACATAGTTAGCTAAGACTTGAAAACTACTACACACTGCCGTGCAATAGCCGTCAAAGGTTTTAGAACCCTATAGTCAATATATAGAGCCTCTAACGATGTTGATATTAAAAAATTTTCGACATTGTATGCAGTATTCATTAGTCCTAAACTCAAGTACTTCACACAAACGACTATCTCCTGCGTAAAAAGAGACAGTGAGGTATAGAAAACAGATTCAAATAACCACAACTAATCTGATTCCTGGAATTGTAAGGCCCCCGTATGATGCCCAACTGGCTAAACTAAATCTATTTTATTTCCGTGTAGAAGAACTAGGGATGATTTGATCACCGTTTTTAAATTACTTAGTGATAAATTTGCATCTAATATCCCCTCACTTTTCTTGTCTTCCAAAACAGAGAATTTTAAGGGACACCCTAAAATGTCCACAATTCCAAGACAAATTCCCTGTCAGCTGACTACCGAATTTTCCATCGAGTCGTCGACGGAAGGAATTCATTACATCAACACATAATCGAAGCTCCATCTGTACACGCTTTCAAAATAAAGTTGGATCAATTGAGAAAACGCTATTTTCAGGACTAACACAAACCACTTAGCCTCCTGTCCTTTCCAAGCTGAAACTGTAATCAAAACTTCATAAATCTTTATCTACAGTTTTTACCTTCTTCCTTATGTCGAGGTATATGGGTCTTTGTTCAGATGCAAAGAGTGTAGATACATATTGTTTTGACAAGTGATAACTAACAAGAATGTTGCGATTTTATGTTTTTGACGGTAGTATAAAGATTTTTTGTTCTACATTACCGTCAACCTATAATATAATTTTATGACTAGCCTTTAACTTACTTGTGGGGATATTTTCATGATAATTTTGTGAATGATTAAGCTGTTGTAATTGTAGATGTTGAGGAGGATCATGATGATGATATTCATCTATAGGTTGAGGTGAAACAGATCGATCAGAAAGATGATAAAATTGATCATATGATTTACGCGATGACAACCAATAGTTCGACATATAATCATTAAACACTCCAGTTTGTTCCCATTTCATAACTGGACTGTTCAGCGTTTTATTATCATTATTATTTGAACCATACAAAGTAGAGCAATACAACTCATCCATTCTGTGATTATTATTATTGAGTAATGAATCATTAGTTTCTTTCGTGGTTTTTTTAAGCATTGATTTTAACTCGATCGTGTTAGTGACCGTTGTTGTGACTGGCGTTGTTGCTGGTATTACTGTCGATACCAATGTTAGTGTAGGTGATAGTGATGGGATTGTCGATGAGATGATTGATGTTTTCTTGTTCTTTGTTACTTCTAATGATAGTAGTTCATTTGTCGAAGATAAACTTGGGTGTTGCCCATGATGATGATGATGGTGAACTTGATTACCGTTTGAATATTTTATTTTTTTCAACCCTTCTAATTTTGTGATTCGACGTGAATAACGATTAGATCGTTTACTTTTTTTCAGTTGACGAGTAAACTTTCCATTTGTATTTTCATTAGTTAATTGATCATTATTATTTATATGATAAATGAATGGTTTACATTGGTCACTGAATTCAGATGAAACACTATTCAAATTTGATACATTTGTTTTCAAATGAACACATGTGGAGGGGAAAGAAAAAATTCTGTAAATAGAAGAAATGGATTGTTCTCTTAAAAAGTAACGTAATAAAAGATATTACACTAACTTTAAATGAAACTGTTTATCATTTTCTTTTTTTTTTCAATGATTCAGAAGCCAGTTGTAACAGTTGTAACATTTGATCGAAAAAAGACACTACTAATAACTGAATAGAAAAAGAATGTTCATCTACTAATTGAATACTGGTTTTGAGACGAATTTCCTCGAATTTCTGAAACAAACTTGTGTTACTTGAATACATTTAATTACTTAAAAGTGTAGAAGTCACTTGTCGATAGGAAAGGATAAAATATTACATAAGAGCCTAATTATTGTATCAAAGGGACCATGTTAATCAGAAAATCCATAAGTTCTTGGTTTTGATCTCCTGTAAATTCATGACTATGTACACTTGATAAATCTCATACAAATGAAAAACAGTTACATAATGATACGTAATCAGTCAACAAATCACCTGAACGTGGGTTCGAATCTCACTAGGCGAGATCGTAGATGCGCGCTGTCGAGGAGTCCCACAATAGGACAAAACGGCCATCCAGTGCTTCCAGGTTTTCCATGGTGGTCTAGTTTCAATTGACTCATGATCTCAACTATTAAAATTATTTTAAATTATCAAGTCAAAGCTTCATAATGTTACCTACTTTAGCAAATGGATTTTTTATCGTTACTAATATATAACACAAAGTAATTGATTGCAGTTTTTATCAATAAAGTATAGTTTACTTTGTATTCCTTTGTATTATCCTATGAGAACAACTTTATGGAAAAATATTTATCAGGGAAAGGTTGTACGTGAAAATGAGTCAAATATTTTGTCAATCGAAATGGAAGGTAGATATTTTTATTCTCTAAATGTTTAACAGTGAATATTCTTATCACGAATTAATTTCGTACAAAAAAACTAATTCACTTGTTTAGCTGATTATTTAAGAATCACTCCAAAGGAGTCTTCTTTTAAAATAACTTACATAGTCAAAACAATCGGATCGAAGGGATGTTGAATCAATATTTTATGCACTGCTGAGGCATTCGCAATCCAGGAGTAATTAATATCATATCAGCTTCAAATTATAAAATTCAAATTAACTTGACATCTGATATTATGATCATTTTTTCCCAGATACATTGGTTGAACAAACTAACTAAGTACTTTATTTATTGGTGTGAATCTGTAAAATTTAGTAAATTTAAGCGAATTTCTCTTACTGTACATCTAGTGCATTTCTATTTTTTTTTTTTCATAATCAAAAAGAATTATTAATATAAAAAGTGGTTTTGTGGATATTATAGCAATTTTAATAGTTGAGATCATGATTCATTTGAAGCTAGACCAACATGGAAAACCTGGAAGCACTGGACAGCCGTTTCGTCCTATTGCGGGACTCGTCATCAGTGCGCACTAACGATCCCACCTCGTGATATTTAAACCCGGGATCGTGAATGGGCATTGCTGAGGAGTACTGCAACAGAATTATTAGTTAGACATTGATCTTTCTAATTGGTATATTGTATCATATTGAATGATTTGAAAGTTAATTTGTTTGTTAAAATTTCTTCACTGATGAAACATTCTAAACTATAAAATCATTAATATTTTAAGTACTCACTTATCAAAATTATGAAATTCATCCAATTGACTTTTCTCTTGTAAGGTTTGTTTTCTGGTCATTATTTTCTGTTCATTTGGATATGAAATAATCGAGTCAGCTATTTGTTGTTTGGATGACATTGAATAATCAGTTAGTAAACATGTTGATGATGTCAATGGTAATGTAAACGATGGTCTAGAACAAATGGATGATATACTTAAACCACTGTTTTCTAATATCATTTTATTTAACATTTCAGTCCTATTTAAATAATTATAATAATTATGACGATTATCACTATTATTATTATTATCCATATATGAGAAATAAGGTGAATAATTTTCATAATTTGGATTATTCTCATGTGTACTTTTCATTAAATTCATTTGTGATTTGACAAATTTATAATCTGTTCCATTTGGCATGGTATTTAATATTGACCAATCATGTTGAATACTTTGATTGTTACAATATCGATTAGTTTTATCATTAAATTGGTTATGATGTTGATGATGATAGATTTTTTCAGTGGATTCCAATAAATGATTTGAAATTTCTGGTATTTCGGTACATTGAAATTCACACAATGAAGAAGATGTTTCAGAATAATCTATTTTACAAAAATATATAGAAAAAACAAGAAATTTACATTTAAACAAAATAATAAAATAATGATATATTTATGATATCCCAATGAGTATAAGTTTCGGTTTCTGACGTTTTTCAGCTTAGTACAAGTCGCTTCTTCATTGAGTAAATAAATAATGGGATCGAAATGGCACAAGTTTAAACGGTATAGAAGAACAGGCAGAAAAGTTAATTCAATCAAAATCGAATTTTTACACTGAATGAAAGTGTTGAGTTAAAGTTGATGTACCGATTCGGTTGTGCCGATTTTCATTAGACGTTTAAATTTAGATCTCTGTTAGAATTCCTCTAAGTAAACAGTATAAGAATGGAAGATCATCATGTTCATCTTCTTTTCCAAAAATGAATTTTATGTTTCACATTACAGATTTAATATTTTACACACCTACTAGGATATGCTCAAATACACACAGTGATGTCTCACAGAAAATCACCTTAATCAAAATGACATTAACCAATTTTTATTATCAGCCTATATTCTTTATGTCTCACTTTTTCTACTACCATTGATACCATTACTGACTATACTACTCTAAGGTTCATCTTGATAATCTCATTTCCCCTTATTTACATAGTATAGCAATTTAAACCGATGCATATCATGTCCTGTGAACCACTTTATAAAAAAATTAGACTTATAATGATAATATTTAATAATGCTACAAAAAACGACTTGGAGATTTCCATCAGTTCTTAATATGTATGAATAAAGATTTATTTCAAATTTACTCAATATTAAGTTAAAATTTTCACTAAATTACATGAAGGTAATTTTCCTATAAAATGCTAATTATTTCTGAAAAAATTAGTGTTTTCAGAAATAGAAGTGAAATCAATCTTCGGTAATTCTATTTCTTGAACACACGTACATAGGGAGGAGCAATCGTGATCTCAAAATTAGGGTGTGTGGACATGTACCAAAATGGTTGCAGAAACAAATAAGATCAAGTGATTCAATAAGAGTAGAGGAAGAATATCCATCATCATAAAATGGAAACAGGCCATAAGACTGATCTTAACTCGGCTTTTGTGGTATTATATAAAAGTGTACAAGGGCGTATACTAAGGTTTATTGAAGCCTTAGCCATACGAAAATTCAAACCCCCTTTGTGTATTCAAAAACAGTTTGTTCTTACCTTAAACCTACCCTGGTAATATTGACTTATTATCCAGAGTGAGTAGGTTTCGAATTGTGTTCACATTATTATTATTACTCCTCTTACCCCATTTCCAGTCTTAACAAGTACATGTGTGATCAGATTGTTCGAAATGTACTGTTTTAATATATCACATAGTTCTGATCATCTTCGTATTTGTATTATATTATCGAAATTTTCTCATTGTTTTATGTTGGAATCTTAGTTAACTAACACGATATAATTGTTTACCAATTTTTTTTTAATAACTAGATATCATCATGCTGTTCTGTACATACTTGATAAAACATTCACTGAATAATTGATCCTAACTTCAGTCGATTAAACACAATGTACATGAAGAAACCACATACAGTTAACTTTAAACTTCGTAAATCTCAAAGATTACTACACACAGATTAACTTGTATAAAATTATGTACTAAATATTAATGATTTGTTTTAAAAACCAAATAAATTATTTAAATATTATCTAGGGTAATTTCACTTAAATGTACACATACATAAATAAATACATTTAGTTTAAATTACAAATATTAAGTTTAATTTCATTCATTCTCTGCAAATTAGTTTCATTGTTCTAAGTAATTATGAAAAATAAATTAAAGTCACATGATATTTCAAGCCATAAAGATTAATAATAATTTTCTAAAGTATACAGTTTTTAGATAATAAACTAAGTTTATTTAAGTGAAACTCAAATTTTTCATTAATTTCATACATTCTCTAATTATATTTATATTATAAGTTAGTACTTGTTTGGAACCTCTCTCTCTCCTTCTCTCTCTCTCCTATATATATATATATATATATATATATATATATATATATATATATATATATATTAGTTCAATATCGATTTTCAACTTTTAAATCATTTTTTTGCCTAACGTGATTAGATATCACAAAGATGTAAATACTCTAAATATATTTATATATTGGTATGTGATGCCACTTTATAGATTTGAATGTCCACTGAATGTATTCCTGTTAATTTGTATGCTTATATCTGCGTATATATATATATATATATATATATATATATATATATATATATATATATATATATATATATATATATATATATATATATATATATATAGTTTATTCAATGTGTCATCGAATAACAAGTTGTACATGTATTTTAGAATACATAAACTTAATTGTTTTACATGGATAGAATAGATATAAGTACAAATATGATATCTGTTTATATTTAAGTAGAACAAATATGTAGTTAAAATGAACAAATTAGTCTTATTATTCGATTAGTAAAGAATGTTTTTCTTTTTTTTTCTATTTAGATATATAATAAGAAAAATCTTAACATTGATGATCGTGATAATGTTTCGTTAATTGTAATGGCACAACAATTATCCAGGTGATGACAATGACATTAATGGTGGTGGTGATGTCTAGTTTATTTACTAATGGTTATTATAGAAATACCTCTGAGAAGAGAGAAAAGGTAGAAAGAGAAATAGATCTTCCAGGTGTCCTATAGAACTTTTATTATAAAGATTCGATCTTAAAATTATTCCGTTAAGCTTTAATATTGCACGTGCGTATTCATATTTAATTCGTGAATAGGGGTGATAGTGATGATAACTAAAAATTAGCTTAAAAAACAAGTATAGTGTTGATTTGATCAATTCTAATTTGTTCGATTCATGAATACATATCCATCAGTGTTATCCCCACCTCAAATGTACGCATAAATATAGCCATTTCACTTTCTGTCATCCTTTTATTCACTTCTCTCTCTCTCGATCTCTCAGTATGAAAATTCATCTAAAAAGCTTTTCTGACTAAGGAGATTTTTTATTCAGAGCTACTTTGTCAAAAAAAGAATCAGTAATTATGTTGATCTGTGCATACATACCTATTTATACTTGTACTAATATGTATTTATATGAATATATTAATACAACACATCAAAACATTGTAGTATGATAGTAAATTAATAGTAAACTTGACCCAATACATAAAATCTTGAACATTAAAGAATAATATATGTCAACAAAAATTTACAATACTAACATTCTGAAACACAAGACATAATTCAAAAACTCAACTACTATAAAAAAATTTATTCGAAATGTTTTAAAGACAAGAATAAAACAGATCATCCCATATCTTCTATACCTTTTCATAGTCATCATCTTTTCCATTTTACTGAAATAAACTGACATCTAATCAGATAAATTAATGTTTAACTTTTTTCTCTCTCTCCCCCTCTAAAAAAAGAATAAACCTTTTTGAATACAATAACAGGAACTTGACAGAAACAAATAGTTCTGAAACTAAATTAGAGAAGTTAAAATAGACACGAGTCATTCACCATGTAGATAATACAATAAGAGTTAATGAGAATAGGCATTACAATTTTTATTATTTATTTATTTATTGTTAGTATTAATAATGTGGATAATTATATTTTTGTGAGAATTTTCTGTTTTTACTTTTACGTTTGTTTATTGAATGAATAAAACGAATTTTGATTGTCGAAATATAATAATAATAACGATAATAATAATAATAATAATAATAATAATAGTTATTAATGTCATCAATGGTAATTTTGATAAAACCATGTTGTTAAATTTATATATGCTTGAAAATCCGTCAACTTATATCATTGGCGTTTTTATTTGAATTTATTTATTTATTTATTATTTGAATAACAAGATAAAATTGATAAGTTTAAGAAAATATCAGTACCATCATGACTGACATTGAAAATCAGGGAAAATGCAACATTGAATAATTTTTTTTTACATTTTTGTGATACTTTAAAAATACGAAACTATAAGTTTATATACGATTAAATGTGGGATCCTTGAATCTCATGATCATTACAGTACTTCCTAAGTACTAAGCTGGAATTCAAATATTACTTATGAATTACTATTTTATTATATGACCGATGAATTTTACAGTTCATAGCTACCTGGTAGTCTCAGTCTTGAGGTTACCGAAGGTATCATATTCCTTAATTTCTGTTGAAAAAAAATGATAAGAAACCCTGTTCAGTGTGCGAAAAAAAACATTACACAGATAATCTAAGTTTACTTTTCTGTTTATTTTTAATAGAAATGAAACGTCGTTTCAGTAGACTGACCTTATACATTAGCCAACAGTGATTTATACCACAATGATTTAAGGTTTGATGTACTGATGAAGCCGTTGACGGGTTATAATTATTCTTCAATAACAATTTCAGTTTTGTTTCAGGTCAACAGAACGAGTCGTTAGCCATTTATGAAAAAGATTCACTACTTTTCTAAAAGTATTTACTGATTATATTATCTAGAAGGATAATGAAAGCTCTATAACTAAATCATCCGTTACAGAGAATATAACACCTACAAAATATACCGGTGATTATGGTTATAAAGATAGTATATTACACTTCATCTGTAACAAAAGTGTGATTGCTTTTACAAGTAAACTGAAACTTAGATGAGATAATAATAACATATAACACTAAGACGGAGCTACACTGGCTAGAACAATCGTTCCGTAGGGTCCTACCATGCCAGACAGGTTGGTTGAAGAGCCGTAAGACTAAAACCAGCAAACCCAAGGTCCGAAGGCGAGGTCGTACTGCTGACTGTACAGAGATGTGACGGCAGTAAGGTGTTTTTTTCAGACAACCAGCATAACAGCGATGTTGTCTTCCCACAAGGAAGAGGCGAGATTAGAGAAGGTTGATCATAAAAATGCACACCTCTCCTTATCGCACGGGTATCCGTCTCCAGAGGTAAGATCTTAACAGGTGCAGAGCTGGCGCTAAAAATACTCAC